AACAAAAAAAAAAACCCCCACATCTTCATACGGGACACCCTGTATTATGTAACTACAAATCACAACCGCAATACTAACGAAACACCGGATTATTTAAATAGGTAGTGGATCAGTTTTTTTTTTAAAATAACTATTCATATTTAATGGAAATTACTTTACCGCACGATTTCGGTAATGAACCTAGCTAATCGTCTGCTTCAGAGTCAAACGAACCGTACTGTGTACTTTAATTCTAACAGTTTTGTCTACAGATGTTTCACGCTCGGTTATGGCGTGACAACGACTTATGTCGATATTCTTCAGTTTATTTTTTATCATATTATATAACACTGGAACACTTCCTATTTAAAGCATAGAATCCACGAAATTCAACAAACGTTGTTGTTGCTTTGATGTGAGATAACAGCTTTGGGATTAAACGCGTTCTTTATGTAATTATTATGTTTTCATGTCTAATCCTTGTCGGTTTTATCCGTGCTACCAAAATCAATTACCCGTAGTTGTTAAACACAAAAACTAGTTTTCGACAGCTACCGAAAAATATAATAATTCATTTCAATATTCAATTATTACCAGAAGTTATACTGTAGTAAGTCTAACAAATCAAATAATATTTATAAACCCATTCAAGCATAATATACATCATCACTGTGGGCATTATTTAATAAAATATTTATATTTTATCCAACTGACAGGATCGACCCAATTGTTAATCGAAAACTATCGGTTAAAATTATTTATTGTAATTATTTAACAGTGTAAAAACAATAAACGTTGGCAATATTATGTATACCAACATACTGATGGTAAGGCGGTACTCGAAAATCTGTGTCACAAGTGCTACACCGTCCAATATGGTTAAACCTACTAAATTTTATTTTTTTTTTTTTTTAAGAGAGAGTGAAAGAAATTGACGAAGTGTAAAAGGATGTGCCAAACATACATTTTATAATGTTCGATTAAAGTATTGGTATTATTGTTACAGCGACGTGCCTCTTGTTTAACAAAACAGAAAAAAATCTGGCTACCGCTAGAGAGGGTAATATTAAAATGAAATCTTACTTCACGTTGACCGTACAATATTATCGTCGAGAAAGCATTGCGCATTTCTGTATAAGTTATTTTTCTTCAAAATACCAAAACGCTAGAGTATCGACAACAGCACTTTGCTGACAAGCGGTTTTTTCCAAATATGGACAATGTATACACACAACACACACACACAGAGAGAGAGAATGGAGTCTACTGCCACTGAAAGGCACAATGCATTTTAAAAAATAAATCTCTAGACATTCGATTGTACGCCAAGCTCGTTACCTACGTTAGGTACATTATAACCGTACGCGTTAAGGTAGGCAAGCAAACGGTGGCGTTTCCATACGTTTCGGAAGCTTAACATAACTTACTATCATAGACGTGTACACTGGAAGTATCCCACCAGGTAAGTAATCGAACAACGCACATACAAAGCCACAACAACGATGGGGATGTATAGCAGTTTGTAAGGTCAATGATTTTTCTCATGGATTCAAATATCCAATAAAAAAATTCGGTTCTTAATATCCGCCAATCACAATCACCGTCTAAAAGCACTTTAAATCTTTTTTTTAAAAATGAAAAAATAGTAGATCACTTTTAATAGGTAGTTATTGAGTCGGTGTCGGACAGCCAATAAAGAATAATGTTTTACCGCACTACATGGGGTGAGAGGTAAGTTATTATAAAATATAGGCGAATGTGCATATTCTGTTCCTATACCGGGGTCCATAATATAGCATAATAACAATATATATTATTATTGTGGTCTACGCCGGGAGAATGACCTCTCGTCCGTCATTCGCCACACCGAATGGCCGAGTGTTTCGATTACCTAGACCCAATAAAGCAGTTTCAACCGGTAAGGGTGCTCTTCATAAACTGGAACAAAATATCATATTTTATTGCGGTGGTGGAAATTCGGTTACAAAACGTTTGTACGTGAACATCAGCTGTGCATCACATTGACTCCGTCGTGATGACCAGAGGCCGCGTAATCGATACCCAATAATATTGTAAGCAGGCACTTCCATAAGTAGTGTGCAGGAACAATGTAGACGGTAAAAACGGATACCTATTGCTTGAGTTACACTTGAACGTATAATTTCTTAAGTACGACACAAGCGGTGGTAATAGCTTGTCATGTACCGGAGTCGAGGCTGTTTGGAGAAACCCTTTCGGGGCTTTTACGAGCAGCGACCTTTTTTTTTTTTTTTCCAAGAAACCGGAAACATCGCGAGTCATTGCAAAAATAAAAGGACTTAACGGCTCGAGTTGGCTTAAGATAGTAAAATTCGATACCTAGCGCACAACCACATAAACGTTGCTATAAATTGTAATATATCATCCGGAGTGCACGGAGTTAAATCATAACCCGCGTGTACCCAATAATAAACGTTCTCTTATATATGTAATGTACATGTGTATGGATACAGCTTCTTATGTAGACCGTTTACAGCTTGTTTACGTGTAGATCCAATCGACTTTTACCGGATCTTACCGGACGAATATAGGACATCCAAGACATCCCGGATTAAACACAAATGTAATGTGTTGTGGAGACGGCAGGATTGAGGGTTAGAAGTTTGTCTTATAACTACCTACTGTAGTGGGACACTGGATTCCCGTGATCAGATAAAAACCGAACGACACGATGAGCTTACAATGAGCAGACACAGTTCGCATGATAACCTGTTTAAGGTTATTGCAGATCACTCTCGATTGCACGGATTAAGCATCTTTTCGACCATTCCAGTTCAAGTAAATATCGTGTCAATAAAGTATTTCCGTCTCATTCGAAAATGCTCTTCTTATGTCTCAAAGTCTTCATTTGGCTTTTTTGTGTGTATACCCTAAAGGTTGGCTTCCAAACCAAGTCGGACCAAAGTCTCGAGCTTCTTATTTCACTTACACGTGACCATTGGTCGGTTCATTGTTCGAATACACGTGTTTAACCCATCGAGAGCTCCAACTGGATACCTCGTGGGAGACTTGAACGCTGTGGCAGCAAATATCGCACAAGACCTTGGGTATATCCAATCAGGTCCCGTTGACGATGGCATGTCCTCATGTTGACATGACAAACGCGTACTTACACACACACACACATAATATAAGCTAAGCTGCAGGCTAGCTTCTGAGAAGCCATTGCGCCATATTCGGCAACCAGTCTCGCGTTTAAATCCGCCACCGTTTCTGTTTTCGTTTAGACCTGTTTGCCATTTCTTATTATTATCATTATTATTGCTTGCTTTTTTTTTTTATAAATATATTTTCTATATCGCGCTAATTTTTTTCCCCCTCTTCTTCACAACCTTATTATCTGACACTCCTCGGTGAGTGCGGCGCACATAACATAACGGGGTTGCCGGAGAGACAACATTGACCAAGGACATAGAGTGACAGTGTGACCACAGCATTACCTTTTCTCGTAGGTCGGGGGTTAAACACTGCGCCAATACATATTGCTCTCGGTACCAGTTATACAGTCATTGGGGTAAAACAAAATCGTACAAACTTCGAACCATCACATCGACATTCATCACGTTCTATTGGCCTGCAGGTTTCGGCCGTTGGAATGCGTTTGTAAATACAAATAATAGCAGCGTATAATAGCGCAATAATTGAACGACCGACTCGCCTATACCATATAGAGTGCAAATTATCGGTTATGATGTTGTTATTACACATGGTAGGTAGGTAGTAGATACTTAATAATAATAATAATAATATATAAGCTCGGAACGACAAGCGTACCATACCCATATGCGTGCGACAAGACGGCAACGAAAATTAATGTCCGTCTACCATAAGCTTCTTTTTAAGGCACGAACGAACTGTCCAAAAAAAAAAATAAAACAGTTTGTTATTCTTTGTGTGCACATGTCACCGGTAAGACCGCAATCTTTGTCACGCCTCCGTCACACGAACCCCACGAATGTGTCCATCCACTTTTTATTGTTTGCACTGTGATACATATGTATTATTACGCTGTTCATTTGCGCGCACGTTTAAAACAAAAAACTAAAAAAAAAAAATTTAAAAAAAATATTCGGTAACCGGTTCTTATTGTGTTGTCTTAACTGTCGCCGACAGATTTTTCTCTTTAAACTTTCCTTACCGTAGAAATTATTTTTGCGGTTCCTTGTCGACAAAGTGAATTGCGTTTACAAGAAAAACCGATTAAGCAAAACATTAAACGTATGCGATAAATTGTCAACCTAACCTCCGCCAACGACCTTTGATTAAATTATTCGTCGTCTCGTGATTATGTCACTGTTTTTAATTAAGATATACAACTTAAGGTGTACAATAGTGATAAATATGATTATTTCAGACATTTTTGTAGAAAATACAGTTAATGAATAATAAAATATTAATTTAAAAAAAAACAATTAGGAATTGTTGCATATACAATTGAAGTTTATGTTAAACAATTTTTTTTAAATTAAAATTCTTGAATTGTAACTAAAAATATATAGATATTCTTATGGTAATTAATCGGTTACTTTTCCTAGCTAACTCGCCGACCAATCGCCACCATTTTTTTACAAATTACACACACTTCAATGTCTATGTTGCCTTGTATTATTTGTAAGCACAGTAATAACCCTTCTATGGTTTGTCCGGGTTCCACTGTGTACTTGGTAGTTTTTTTCGAATTTCAAGTCAAAAGAAAACGACAATAATTTTGTAAATTGAACAGAGTTTAAAAATATGCACTTAGTCAAGTTATACAGACTGCGAACCGACAAGATCTGTACACAACAGTATATTTATGTAGTCGCCAAGACACGAGGAACAAATGTACCTATTTATAGACAAGACGTGACTTCTACACAATGGCGATAATATTATAATAGTTATACCGTGTTAGGGCGAACCAGGGACGAGATCTAGCGGTGGTGGTCTGTTGCGTTGTCAGTTCAAGCATTCAGATTCGACAGGCGAAGTTAGGCAATTACCTTTACACTCGTGTGCGTTCGATGCGGTTGCTCGACTCCACGGGGCATCGTTGTAGAACGGAAGACATTCGTTGCAATCCGGTCCGGCCGTGTTGTGCTCGCACCGGCACACCCTTCTGGAAGACCCGTCGATCCCGGTGCTGTTGACACACTCGCTGGCATGACCGTTGCACTTGCATCTGTAACGTATCAATTATTTGAAAGTTTATAAACAGCTAATAACAGTAGCAAGCAAGACAAGTAAACAAGTAGCAAACAAGTAAACAAGAAGCAAACAAGTAAAGTAGCAGCACAACAGTTGCTTCTCTCAAAGGGATCACTTGATTATAGTTATTATAACGCTGTGGTTTACACCCTGTAAGCTCTGGAGGCGCCTGGTTTAGTAAAAAAAAGTCTTAATAATTCGAAAGAGAACCCTTTTGAGATTATGTCCAATTTACTACCAATTTCTATTATCAAATTGGTTGTATTGCAAACTTTAAAAGCAATTTTCTTAAAAATCCCTTTTTCCAAAATGGAAATATAAAAGAACGAAAAAATATTAAATTTATTGATATTTTTAGACATTTTATTTTGTAAAAAAAAAAATAACTATTTGAATTCCCAAAGTTATTTATTCAATGAAATAAAAAGGTTTTTTTTAGATGCCATTAACGACAATACACATTTTGGCGACAACAATATTACTTAGGTTTAAGTTGATATTTTTTTTAGCAAACAACTTTATAATTAAACGAGCGTAATGTGACACTTGCCTGGCTCCAACTGCAAAATCGGCAATAGCGTAGAAGTACGATTTTAATACTTGAGGATCTCCAAAGACTTCATCGCCGAAAGTGTTCAGACGATCTAACGTTATCCGAATATCAGTGGCGGTTACCCAGTCCTGGAACACATTGCAATAAATTAGAAAAATTTATGAATTATATAGATGGGGGGGAAGAGGGGCATTATACTTAGGTAAAACAATTTTACATTACAGTCAAACTGTACTCAGAAATAATATTATTTTAGCGAAACAAATTTTTAATTTAATCTTTATCATATATGTATATTTAACGATTAAAATGTATTAGTTTTTGGTGTTAAAAACATTAAGTATTTTATAAGAAGCATTTCACTAACATATTCATGATGACTAGAAATACCTCATATAATATATATATATATATATATATATATATATATATATATATATATATATATACAGTTATTGTTAAAAAATGAATAAAAATACAATTTGCAGTCCATCCCTCAACGCCTTAAACGCTAATATGTAAATAATCTTAATAAGTAATAATTTAAAAGTGGTTAATAAAAGAAATTTTTGTTACGTACATTAGCTTTTAATCAGTAAATAAAATATATTATAGTTTTTTAATCAAACCTTAAGAGTTACCCTCTAAAACTAGGTACCCTTTAATGTTATATTTTCAACTTAAACACTAAAAACTAAGCTATATAATTTAAGATTGTAAACATTTATTTTGAAATGTTTTAACTATAACAGTTATTTCATAACGAATATTGTTGCATGTCAAATTTTAATCACTCCGTTATATTATTGACAGGGAGTAGTAATATCATTTTTTATAATAATTTTTTTGTCCCACAGTTTGAGCGGTAATGTTATATATGTTTTTTTTTAAATACCCATTTGTTATCATTTCTAAATAAGTATTAATTTTAATAAATCAATAAAAACAAAAAAATCTCGTAAAATAACAATTATTTAAATTGTTTTATTAAAACTAATTTTGGAAAAAAAGTACCTTACTATTTTTTTTTTAATTACATAACATATCTTGTCGATAAAGAATTGGTTTTTAATGATAACAAAGAGGTGATTTTTTAAATGCATAAACATTTCAAATAGCAAAACAAATTTAATAGAATTTCATTGGAAAATCTCTAACAAGTAATTAAAAACCCTTTTCCACTACAACTACCGTGGAAAATGTCTTATACCTGTTTTGATCCTACATGGAACACAACGTAAATAAGTATATTATTCCCAGCTAGATAATATTACATACAGTCGTATATATTGGGTTGCCTACTTGGTAAAAAAAAAGGATTTCTAAATACCATCCGTATTTTTAACTGTTTTATCGTTGTACTAGAATCTAGATCAATAAAAATGTATTATTTGTGTACAAATATTTAAAGCTTGTGAACAAATAAACAATAATAAAGTTTTGATATATCTGGTCTGACTATCATATGGTATTATAAAATAGCTTTAGTTGGTACGGTAATTACAATTTAGTGTATTCCATGTCCGATTAAAAATTAATATCTAAATAACGACTTATGTGTGTATTTACCCAAAATTCTGATTTCGAATCGTAAAACTTGGCCGACGGTCTACCTTCTAGAGTGGAAAACGGCACGCTGCCTCCGGTCAATGGAGATATATCAGAAAACTCTGAAGTACAGAAAGCTCTGGTCTCCTGTTCGCCTAGTCTAATGTAGTTCAAGTCCGGAAGTCCGTACGTGTCTCTGCAACTTCCACTGTAAATAAAACAAATAATAAAAATTAATAATTGTGATATTAAAATAAAGCGCAACAGTTATTTTTATCTGCGGGCATTACCCTATCGCACTCCAACTGCCATCCTAAACTTTTTACTTGCATAACTTTAAAAGTAACTATCCAAAATTTCGGTTATCGTCCAGTCAAAATTCCAGTATAAATAAATTTGAAAACAAAAATAAACTTAAAAGTATTCACTAGAACAAAAGTCATTTCGTTTGTAAAATCTTTGTGGCACATCCTTTACACGCTCTTATCAGCTGATTTTCTTATCAATCATCTTTTATCAGTCCATTCTCTTATCAGTTATTTAGGTCATTAACCTATTTTCCCTTCCACTTTCCTATTTAACAGCGGACGATATTTTAACAATTTTAAAACTATTGTATATTATATAAAATTATACATTTGATGTGCGTTTACTATAATTTTGCTGTTTTATTGTTAGTTTGCATCAAATAAAAATCGGTAGACGATAAGTTTAATATCGGTCGTGTATGTTTAACATTTAAAGGACAGTGTTTTTAACGTTTTTTTATTAACCAATGAAACTTATATTTTTATGTTAGGGACATGTTTAGTGTAATATATTTAATATCAATTTATTGCCAGGCAGTAAAATACATAACACTATTAATCTCTACACATTGTATTAATTGTAAACTATATTTGAGAAATCCAGTTGTACTAATATCAGCTGTTTTACGGTCAATGTAATTTAATACAAAACACTGTAGCGTTATATGTTAGTTTTACATTAGTAATTAATTACTTGTATTCAAATAAAACGGCTTCGGGTGGATCGTAGATTATATTTTATAGACTTTGCGTTATTTGTGTGCTTATTGTTCTGATAATTTAATTAAATATCGTTGAATAATATACGTTTCAAACTCATAAATCATATTGCCTATTATTATGCGATATGTTCATTCTGATAGATGTGCACCAATTTTGTCTGATTAGCATTAATATTAAATCAATGTTACAAGTAAGTTTATAAATATAATATAACACCACGTGGTTTTCAATTAACAGTTTTGCAATGGACTCAAGTCTCATTATTGAACAAATTGCTTTTAGTTTAACATTAATATTTCCCATTAAAACTTTTTTTTATGCTTTATTTTATTTAAAAACTGAACTATTTTACGTGAAATGTATCTTATAAGGACTTTCTCGCCATTAGCAACTTTACTAGATATATTTATAAAAAAAAAAAAAATTGCTTAAAACTATGTATTTATATTTTTTAACACGGTTAAGTCCAAATTTGAGTTACACTTTTAGGTAAGATCAAAATCTGTTCTATTAAAACACATTGTTTTGTTATTCGATTTTCGCTAATATACAAGTATTGTTGATAATCCCTAAACTTGTTCTTTTGAGTTTTTATGATTATAGAGTTGAGTACGATTAATTTGATCACCGAAATAACGTCCAATCGACGGGGCGAGGCAAGGCATAACCGTTCTTTCTATACACAAAGTCTGGCATCACTTCAAAATGTGCACCTCGTCTGGCCAATATGAATAGTTGTACTCGGGCGATCAATCGATCCACGGTCGCCCGCACACGATCGTCTTATACTTTGGAATGGTACTATATGTAGTAAATACTATGAATTTTTTGAAGAAAAAAAAAATACAAGAATCCGCATCATCACGATGAATAATCAGCCTAAGATTAATTTTACGAGCCCCATTGTTCTCGGATCCATATTCTTATTATTATTATTGTGTATACGAGACAATAAACCGATCCGCGACGGGTATGTCTGTATACACCTAATGTTATAATATATAATATTATGGTTCACCTGTAGAACTGATACGGGATCCACGGGCCGTCTTCTGTGCTCTTTTTGTAAACAGCAAAACTTTCCGGTCTCGGCGAATAGAACAACAGCCGAATGTACGTTATGTCGAACGCCTTGCCTGAGAAAAAAAAACACACATTTACATTAATTTCAAGTAAAAAAAATATATGTCACAGTTTTTGCAAAAATTCACATTTTCAATACATTTTTGTAGAGAGCGTTTTGTAATTAGTAGAAAACAGTATTGTTTGGATTTATTTTTTACTTATCCCCTTTGTCGAATAGGCGATGAAGATAGACGTTTAAGATTTTTTTTAAATATTTTTAATATTATCGCGTCCACCCTCGAGCAACGACGAACCGTCAAGTGTAATAATATAGAAACCATAACGTTATAATTATTAACATACAGGCGTTCCTTGTGTATAATGATATTTTAATTTGAGGTTTTTTTTTTCTTAGGTAGCCGGAATGAATTAATTAGGCCGCTTTTCCGTCTGCGGTGTTGGCCACTATTAATAGATATATAATCATTTTTAGATAGGTAAATTATTACATAAGATTTTGTACATCAGTAGTATCTATTACTTTTACTATTATTATGAATACGGTTAACATTTCACGCGGTCGGCTCGTGATTAAAAAAAAAACTGGTTCCATCCACACCGACGCGGGTATTCGAAAACTGTATCAAGTATATACATATACAGGGTGCTCAAACTGTTTTGACATATTTACATATAGAATTTGCACGTAAATGCATGTAGGTAACCCTGTATACGGTAAAAAACTATAAAACTGAGAACACAAAGTATACATTCGAGTTTGATGCGACGGCCTATAAAAAGTCCAATTGCAATAAAAAAAAAAAATTTAAAAAACATTTCATCTGAGTACCTACAATCAAATAATAATCTCTAATGCTGGTTTTGTTATAAATTCTTAATATATCTTTTCGAGTTTTTTTTTTATTAATATTATAATTATTAGTATTTATTTTTATAAGACCAACTGGGCAAAGGTTCTTACTTAAACCAAAACGGCTTAACATTTATATGATAATAATTGTTAATTCGATGTAAATAATAAATTATTTTACTTGTTCGAATATATTTATTGCACTAACAATTACATAGGACCGTCTACGTTTGCTGTTATACTGTACCTATTGAGATTGTTAAGAAATTTCCACTAATTTAAGCGTTAGCAATTTTTTTTTAACTTACACATTTAATAAAAAAAATTCAATTAGTTTAATATGTATTATAATTTCCATTAAAAATAACAATTTTCAAAAAAAAAAAAAATGTTTGTTTGTTTATTTTAAATAAAGGCGAGAATTTTTGAAATATTATTCATTGTGGTAACTATAAACAAGATTCAATATTTTAATTAATATTGCAAGTTGAGGTTTTACTACGCCCTATTTAGGCTTAAACAGTTTGAATTTTTTTGACATTTTCATGTCTTAGCTCTGGCACATAACCGAAAATATTATAACGCAAATATTATAACGAAAAATGCGTTACCAAAAAATAAATGGGGATAAAGATGAGGTGGGGGTAGGAATGAGGTTGAGGGTGGGAATTAGCTGTGGAAAATAACCGAAAAAAGCATAACGAAAAAAGTGTTATGCTGTTATCTGATATGATATAGGGGTGGGATATAGGGGTAGGGGATAGGGAGTTAGTGATAAGGGTTAGATATAAGAGATAAGAGATATGTTGTATGCTCAACGTTCAAATTAGAACTAAATAATACATTCAAAACAGTTTAAGGGCCCAATTTCTCTATGAATTGTTTTAAGCCAGACAATAAACACTACAATTTTAGCCAGAAACTTGACGTTTTATTATACTAGCTTGTTACCGCTCGTTAATATACTATATCATTATCTATAATTCCACCACTACTCTAAATTTATTCGGTACTTCAACGAGACATGAAAATGCTCTTTCGTGGTTGCAGACTCTGCTGAAAAACTTTTTTTTTTTCAACTGGTGGCACAACCTCGACAGATTGAATGATTAAGATAGGCAGTAATTACAGTAGTTTATTCAATGAAATAATTATTTTAGCTGAAAAGGCAAAACCCATATAATATATTTTAATATTAAATTTATAATTATTAAATGTTATTATTATTTAAATATTATTAAATTTTCAGGTTGCTATGTGTGAACAAATCAACGGGTATTCGAAAAGTATTTTGGTTGCCTATTGGTTACACCGGCCATGAATTATCAAGAAAGATAGACCCTAATCAACCATAATTGAATCCACCATGTTACTGAAAATAATATTCAGTCTATTTCTTAAGTATAATGTAATGTTGTCGTACGATAAACTAGTGAAATAATTATTTCACAGTGTCCGGTCTAAGGGTAACTGACACGGTGCAGTATAGTGAATAATAATAATTATTATTTCACCGACGGGTCGACAAAGAAATTTGTCGGCCGCTTGCACAAAAAACAACTGAGATTATTTTCTTTTTACACATTTTCTTTTTTTACCCGTTAAACGTTGTCGTGGTCGGCCTAAACTACAGGGTGCACTGTTATCCTGATCGTTTTCGACTGTTTACACAATAATATAATAAATTATTACAATGATTTGTACGAATGTCTGAAAATCATTCTAAAACACTAAAAATATAAAGCGGTATGTAACTTTTAATGGCTTTATTGTTTTTGTCGTTTCGCCTTGCAAAAACCGCTGTACTTGTGTGTGTGTGTAAAACAGCAATCGCATTGTTCGGACGATCCGGCTCACCCTGTAGTCGAGTAACGCAATGTATGTAAATGCATTTCGGTTGTATCGGATATATTATATTATAATATTGTCGTGAGGTCGATTGTATACTGTGTTCAGACCGTATCCGAACGGCAACTTTACGGACACGACTCAGATAAAAAAAAAATAAACAAACAAATAAAAAACCATGTACGTGTTTAGGTATGTAAAAATATTAAAAAAAAAAAAACGTAAAACCCGATGTTAACGGGGTTATCACGAATAATACATTTTGAGAAAAAAAAATTGTCTAAAAAATAAATACATTTGCAAATGTTTAACACAACAAATAATGTTTTAAAGGGCAGTTTTAGAGTGGAAACTCATCAACCGACTCAATTAGCAATATTATGCTTTTTCTAAATCAGAATAAAGTATTGGTAATGAAAACTGGTCGATTGCCGGTTTTCAATACATACTTATTGAGTTAATAGTTTTAATAAAAAAAAATGACTGAAATAACATATATTTAACAGTATGATTCCCATCATTATCTATTATAACTTTAAGTGCTAAAACATAAGTCAACAGATTAGGTAGATAGATAGTTTCGCAGAATGCTTAAAAACATTGACCCGTGAGAAAACCGATTTTAATTTATTTATTCAGAACTATCGCTTAACTATTTACATGACCTTTAAGTGGCTTAAATAGCGTTTTTTGTGAAAATCCGGATTTTCGGATTCCCATCACTAGTACAAATACATGTCCCCTTTGGGTGATAATAATATTATTCTACTAATTATTACTGTAATGCAATTTTTAAACCGTCGTCGTTGGACCGCGATCGAAGGGAAGTTTACATTCAAATGGCACGTGGGCGATGGAAAATAAAATAAGAAGGCATTATGACCGTCCTACGGTTTAAATGACAAAACGACCGGTAGTAATTTATGCGTCTGACCACTACGGTACCGAACTTAATTTTACCTTCCGTCCATCCATTTACTTAAGGTAGTCGCTGCTTTAACATTATGTATATAATTATTTGTCATTAAACAACCCAAACGACAAACAACGCCACGACATAACCGTGTAAACGTTTTGCCTTTGATTGACCAAAACCAACCGGTAACTGTTGTAGAGCTACCAAAAAAAAAAAATGTATATATATATTATTATTTTTATCGTAGCAACTACTGATTGTGAATTCGTTTAGTGAAAAAAAATATATACAATGTCGATTCGTTAAAATAAAAAAGATTATGTTAAAAAATGCTTGTTGTTTATGGTTGCACGCGCATATTTTGGCTACGTTCAAGTAGGCGTCGATAAAATATTTAAAAAAATAATCTCAACTCATAATTTTGTTAACAATTTTTTTTCACACAGAGTTTGATGAATTTGATGAATATATTTTTTTTACAACACCATAAGGCATAATGTACCATGATATTAGTGACTAGTGTTAATACATACAATATTGAGTCTTTTTAATAGTTATATAATTCAAGTGGAATATTTTTTTAAATATATTATTATTAATAATTATGTGTGCGAGAATAAACTCAATACTCGAATGTACAACCGTTAGAGCGCTTTTTAAGAGTACACATTTTTAATTGTTGCGTTCGAAATGAATTTTCTATCAATGGAAGAGGTCCAGAGGTCGTTGTTTCGTCGTTTCCTGTTCGGAGTGTAATCTGTACACGAAACGACCATTTTATCGGTGTATAAAATGAAAAAAAAATTAATTTTACAATACTCCAAAAGAAGAAAAAAAAGAGTTTAATCACATCCGACCACAATACACACGCGTAGGGCAGACAGTTCATTGAACATATTTTACAAATTCCAATAAACTAAACTCAATAATTCATTAACATAATCGGTCGAGGTTGAATCTAACATATAGTTTATTGGAATTTGCCATTATTCGAATGTAGCTGTTACTAATATTACCATGTTCAAAGGAGGCTGCGTGAAATGCATATTTTGATGATCATTTCCGTTTTTCCACAGCGAGCGGAAGTGTCGGCTGCAGAGACTTTTAGAGTAGGTACTCGGTGGATGTGTTCTTAAAGAATAACACACTATACGCGGTTGGGGTACCTAATTAAATATTGTTGTTTTTTCAACGGCGGCTGACCAAACATGGACCGGAACTGTCGGACGTGGAAATCGGTTTCCCCTTACAGTTAAATAAACATATATTATTATTATTATAATATACAGGTATTGTGTGTGCATTTAAACTGCAGCTTAAAACCGTACCGAGAAGCCCAAACGATTGTCGGTCGTGACAGCTTCATATCCGACCAACGCGGGTTTATCCAATTAACGTTTTTTTTTTTTACACCGGCGTTACATTAATATCCGTCTGTCAGTAGTAGAAACTTATACGCCTAATATTAGTGGACATCGTACCGCAATAGAAGCCCATACACTAGACCGCTTCGGTGCGCTTGTGTGTTAAATAATATAATATATTACGTGAAACCCGTGTAATATTCAGCGGAAAAAGGTCGGCCCACGTATTGAACGCGATAGTATTTGTTTAATTTTTTTTTTTAAATAATAATTAAAACCTATACAGCGTGTTTGGAAGAAAAAACGGAACATGGTTTTTTGAATTCACAGCCGACCAAGTCGAAGCTGTAGCGCATCTTTTTAGTTAAACAATATCGTACGCCACGTGGCTTAAATATACTAGGTTATTGCATACCCCCGTCCCCTTAACTATAGCATTAATTCACAAAATGGCAGCGTGAGGGGATATCATAGATAAGTTTATAAAATAAATATTTGTCTGGATGAACCCGCCATGGTATAGCACGTGGTCTTATTCGTTTCCAATGGCCTATGCTTATTTTATAGTGTTAATATTATACACCCTGTGCGTTTAGTCGGTGGTTTGTAATACAAACACTAATCCGGTCTTGAAAGCTGACCGCCCGACAGTAAAAATAACTATCGGTATTAAGGCCCAACAAAGTGACGTATAATTACTATATTTTTTTCTTGCGAAACTTGTCACGACCAATAACCACATGCTTGGGTACATTTTTAGAATAATTATAAACGAACAAAATATATTTTAACATAACATGAAATATCGAATGGTCGTACTAATAACGAAAGGGAAAATAATTGTGTTTTAAAAAAGTCAATAGACGAAAAAAAAAAATTATCCTAGAAATACATGAGAGTGCCAAAGCTATTAATTAAATAAGGCGTGTACGGTTATTGATTTTATATGTAAATTGCGTTTTAAGAGACACGTTTTATGATGAAGATTAATTTGTAAATTATTAGTTCTATGGTTGATGAATTTATGTTTATTAATATATGTGACATATAAAGTGGCATCTACAGTAAAATATTTTTACTAGGTTTTTATTAACCAATAAATTATGTAAATTGATCGGTTTTGTGTTTATCCATGTATCCATGAAATCCATTGTTAATATTCTCACAAACATCATGCTTTGTATGCACCGTTATTACTTATTACCTCAGTTAACTAAATACAATACATAATAGCCCATTTATAATAAAGATAATAGATTTCTTTCAAGCAAGCAAGCAGCTACCAGACTTAACACTCGGTTGAATTTTGAACAAACTTGGGTAAACCGGATTTTGTCAAAAAGCTAGGTAAGTCATTACACCGTTAACGCTCCAGTCGGTGTGTAATAGCCGAATAAGTAAATGTAAATAATATGTCGTTTTCCATTTGGGCACAACAAATACTGCCGGACGGACCATAAGATTTTATTCCCATAATCCATTACAATATAACGGATACTAGTCGCCAACGGTATCGGTTTTCTAAACGGATGTCCTCAAACTGGTGAGTTCACTCTATCCCAATATTATAGATAGCGCGCTGATTTAAGGCGCAAAACAAATACTGTATACTCAATAATATGTTATACTATTAAGTACACAGTATTTGGGAAACTATCGAGACAAGGATCCGATAGAATAGTTGCCAAATTTTGAATTGAGGCGCTCAGATGCCAAACTGATTAACTGCACTTTTTTTCAAATTGCGAATAATAGCATGGTTGGATTAAAAAAGTGTATAATTTTCAGTGGCCAAGATAAATAACTCCATAGTAGAATTTTTCCCCACTAGAGTGTGCGCTAAGAAAATTGGCAATTGTACTTACATACATTGTTTCAAATAACTTTAACTGCCTGTCCTGAAAATGTTCATCTTATGGAGTTAATCGGTTTGGCATCTGAGCGCCTCAATGTGTCCCACGTTCTTATGATTGCAAGAGTAAATTCGATTGGTTCACTTACCAAAGTGCAAGGTGAGGTTGACCTGGTTGGGGTATTGGACGCTCTCGTACATGGTCTCCGACTGCCACCACGTTCGGTTGGCGTAACTGCTGAAGTCAGTCATGTAATAGGGCGAATGCGACGATGGGGTGCACACGTCACAGGTCTTCTTGGTCACTTGACTGCCGGACTGCACGCAAAACTCTGTGGGACCGTTTTGGCCGCACGTGTTGGTCGCCTCCACTCTTAGACCGAAAGCGGCATTTTCAAACCCCGGAATACATCTCTGCAAACAAAAAGCGAGTATTGCGTTAGTTAAGAACTTAAAACTCTCATACAAACACGGCAAAGAGATATCTATTTTGATATTATTACACTTTTGGTATTCAACTTGTAGAACGCATACAGCAGGCCCTATTTGTGTACAAAAACATACCTATGTTTCTACTTCGAACAGTACTTTTTGTTTATCGTTTGTTTGTGTTGTGATCACACTTTAGAATGATACTAAAAAATTTGATAAGAATTACCACTTTCTGGCTTCACTATTATTATGTTTCAAGAACAAACTTATGTCTAAAACAAATGTATACTTACACAATATTCATAAACAACCTTCAAATTGTATAGATTTTGAGTCACTCCATTATAGCATATTTACCATATAATCTAACATTGTTTGTTTATAGTAATTATAATTTAGTTGTATTAATACTAGTTGTATGATTTTTTTTTTAAAATATTTTACCATTACAACATTTACATTACAACTTGTACAATCGTTAAGAGGAGCCAAAAATAAAATAAACTTTACACTATTTACATGATTTGAGGTTAATCCCTGAAGATGGAACGTGCAAGTGTTCCGAAACGGATGCGAACTAGTCAAGACATGTAAATATAATACCCCACTCAAGTTTCAATAATTTTTTTTATATAAACTTAATTTGATTGCTAGAGTCAAATCATCGGTAGTACTGACCTGAATTTTTACTAATTTTCAATAACGTTAATGAGTGAATATTATCAATGTTAATATAATAATTTATTGTTAACAAGTAACGTACAAGACTGTTTTGAAAAAGCGCTTAACCAACAATGAAAGTAACTTGGCTTTTATCTGAATTACACGTTCAATTATTACCAACGTTAAGGGGCAAGTAATCAAATACGATTGAAATAATTTTACAATTATTTTACAAAACGTGATATTACAATCGAGTATTTCTGTAATCAAGTTGTTTTTTGTTTAAATCCAATCTCAAAACAACCGAGAGTACCTGCGCATTTTGTTTTCAACCACTCTAACTCCGACCCTATCAAAGCAATCACGTTCTACAACAACATAATTACAACCCATATTAAATTACACAAAGTGCACGTCTAACGTTGCACATCGCCTGCATTTTGCCATTATTTTACCGATCAAAGGCGGTACACGGTCGACGATATTGCGATTGACATAATCGATAAGCCTGTAAGTCCGAACGATTATTACACCAAGTTCGGATTGACATAATTTACATTAATCGTTTCTTCGGCTTTGCAAAAAAAAAAAAAGTAGTTCCCTTCGTCTCCGACCGATCTTAGCCTAAGCTATATATTGGCGCCATCGGATGTATGTTGTAGATACTAAATTATAATTTGTGTTTTAAGATTTAAAGAAAACGAATATTCAAACAAAAACGTTAAACCTTTTATTTACAATCCATTAGCCTACTATTTATATTATTGGGGGGAGTGAGGGGGTCACACGCGTTTATTATACATTAATGTAGTTGTTGTACACACACACACTAAATTATGGTAGAGTCTTAGAGATACAAAAGAGATTGAAAAATAATAGATAATAAACGGCGGAATGTAAAATGTACGTGAGGCATTATCCAACTATACATAACGTCTGATGTTTTTATCATCAGGTATGTGCGTGTGTGTATAAGAATTGAATAAATATTTCCAGAATCTGGTACAGGGTGATTTATAACCACCGAGGCTACTGGAATTGACCGTGTATTATTTTTTTTTCGGGGTCAACGTCGCGACACCTTCTATTCACTATTGTACGCGAACGCACATTGTTATACCTACCCCTCTCATTGCACTTGTATTTTTACTATACATAAATTCAAGTAGTATGTGGATACACAAGAACAATAATTACCACGCGTTTCGCATTGGTGGTCAATATCCTTACTTCTCTCAGAATAAAAAATCCAAGTAGCCAAAAAAAAAAGGTGACAAATTTAATTGATAAAACACTGGTTACTAAATGATTTTGACGTTTATACAGTCCGGATAATAGATTTATTATGATTAATTATTCTTAAAAATATTAATAAATACAAATTTATGTACAATATGTTTGTTCGTTTTTTTTTCTTCTAGATAATTGACTTAAACTAGTTTGAGTTTTTTTAAGAATTACATTTCAGTTTAACGACGGATCAAAAGTATTTAATTTTTAGAAATAAATAATTCAATTAAGTGCGGTAAGTATTTAAAGTTAAATAAATACAGTAGACTGTCCATGGTACATCCAATGGTTGAACCTAATCTAACCGTCCTAAAATATCCTCTCCTAATTATTTAAAAGCATTATATTGAAAAAAATTAAAAATATGTTTATAAGTAAAGTGCAATCGTTCTAGCTTAAGCTTAATCAATCAGCAAGCTACTCTAGCAAGGCTCCCCCTCCTCTTCTCTGGCTTTCTACATAAAATATCAAATGGATAAAATATATACAAAAAATAACAGAAATCGTTAATTTTATTTTATATAGTTTTGATAATTTGTCAACATAATTTGATTAATTACCAAATATGATTTTTTTGAAAGAAAGCACTAATAATTAATTGAATGTCGACTCGTTTGGTATTTTCCTCAAAAATAAATGTCCGATATAAAGAATATTAATTATTATTAATGGAGTTATTTGGTCATCAACGGTTTGTACACTAATATAACTTGTAATTTATGATTACAAGTCTGTTAAAATTATTTGTTATAATATATAATTTTTCTTTTCGACGCGCGTTCAATCAAGGCAATTTAACTGGTTAGATGAAAGATTAATCATATATATGTGTTATAATGATGAGTAAACATAAATTAACCGTACACACATATTAAATGAATGTAAAAATTAAAAACGTAGTTTAACTAAATTTTAGTGCACTAATAATAACTGTTTATACGGTTTCTATTATAAATCAAACGAATCATTAAACTTGCCTATAATTTTTGTCGAAACTAATTTCAATTTTTTACTTCCAATTTGAATTTTTAATATTTAACCTTTAGGCTTTTATGAATGCCTTCGGTCTGTTGTCGTCCATGATGGAGCACCTAGCCAGGAAACTGTCAAAAACTGTCGTCGATAAAATATATGTTTATAAAAAAAAAAATTGTTAAATACCAAAATATTGGCAGTTTTGGAGAAGTAAAAAATGATATTGTAAACCAGTGTAGATAAATAAAAGAAATATGATTCCTCTATCGTTTGGACGGAAAACTGTCACGGTCGTCCGTTTAAATTACATCAAATCTTTTGTAATGGAGTTTTCAATATTAATATTAAAACAATTTTTTTTTTTTAACTATCCGCCGTCCAGTCTCTTTTCACGGTTCGACTACCGCGGTTATAATAATATTATTATCTTCTTATGCGATACATCTTTTTCCTTTTCATCCTCTTCCAACACATCCAGCGACCGTCGACCGTACCCCGTGTGTGTGGTGTAAACAGGACAATATAATATTATTATATGTTGTACCGAATACGGCTCGGCAAGTACACTATACCGACTATGCCCAGATGGCTTTTGTATTTTATCATTCCTACACGTTACACCAGAAAGAAAAAGGGTCCCTTCGGCAGGGTTAGCACCAGCGACGGCCATACTGCAATGTAAAATTAGATCATCAGACCAAAACAGATGTCACGAAATCCATGTGTACAGCAGCGTTAGATGTATTTTAATTTTACACCATCCTCGTTTATATCAGAGAGCATGCGTTAAAAATGTTTTGTACACAACCGACAAGCAACAGCAGCAGCAATCCTCACACTGAGAATAAAATTATTACAATATCCGAGTTGACTTGGAGTCGATTTTCAACAGTAATATTAACAAGCTACCTCTATTCCATTCATATTATAATAAACAGAGGCCCATTGATTGCACTGGGAAAAGTTCTATATCGAATGTCAACATTTTCGTTTTCGGTTTACCGACGCCGCCGCCGAGAAAAGTAACTGATTAAACCTGTTTAGAAAACGGAGCATCTTAAATAACAATAATAATAATAGTACAGCGTGTGGGCAGCCTTACGCAAAGTATACAAATGTTAGATAATACCTACACCTAAACGTACCTATTACTGTTCTTTATGTTAATAAATATTATCTTTGAGACAATCTATATTTAATCATGTCGGACGGGACCGAGAGGAGAGCTGCAGTTGTAAGTGAATGGAAAAAATTGTATTCACAAAGCTTGCATCCAGATGGGTGACCACTAATCGAGGCAATAATTATTAGCCGTCGAGATTAAATAATGTTATGTTGAAATTTCATTAAAAATATATATAGTCTTAAAATCCTGAATCATAAAAACCTTTATTTAAATGGAGGGAAAAAAATAGTAAGTTAATTTGTCAAATGTTTTAAATGCTAAACCCTGAAAATTCGATTTAATTCCAGTTTTCAGTTCAATTTAATTAAGTTAAACATTTACTAATTAACTAGTTAGACAAGTCAAATGCTAATAACATTTGTATGGATAAACAGTATGTCGATTCAAGGAAAAATAACGTTCCTTACCGTTGTGGTTGATTTTAGATTAATTAAATTATAATATTTAATAGAACATATAATTAAAATTGCCAGTTAAACCTATTCTTCAAAAACCGACCCTAAGTTACATGTTTTTAAAATGTTATCCAGCTTAACCTTAACTGTACAATTAAAAGGATTCGCGCAAACAGGATAGACTTGGCAAAAGTCCTCTCAAAATTTCAATACAATTGAGACACTTAGATAGGACAAGGGCCCGATTCGGCTTTTTTTGCAAAATTTAATTTTTTCTTATAAAGATTTCTTTTTTATTTATTTGATATTGTGTTAGAACATTGGCTCAGTAGGAAAGTACTGTAATAAGAAAACATACTTTTATTTAACTAGAAAAAGGGCCTAATCAATGAAGCGACTTTGTTAGTACAACTGTGATTAAAAAGTCTTACAAAGTAAAATTTTGTGATACAACTACTTTTAAGTGTTGTAATATTCTCAAAGTTAATATTGTTTTCTATATGACACTTTTACGGTTTTTTAAGCATGTTAATATTGAATAAAAAATATGTTTCAATTTTAAAAGTTTTGATAGAACAAAGACCAAATTTTACAACTTTTAAAAAATCCCTTAGGCTAAAACAAAATGTCAAAATTATTTTTTATAAATTAAATCGACCCATTAAATGATGGGTAATAAATTAGACAAAATTTAATGGACACTAATATTATGTTTCCTAGTCAACGATGAACGTCCGTCGTCGAGAGGTTATTAAAACAAGTGAGAGTCGGATAAAATATTATGTTATCAAGTGTTATCTCTTAAATTGGGCCAATGGAGATTTTCGATAAGAAAGTGTGTGGCAATTAAGCGCGTTGTCTTCGTGTGGTTTTTTTTCGAAGGTAAACGAACTATGTACGAGACAGCTAAACCGATTTTATTGCAACTTGCGCACTTAAAAAACTCCATTTCGATTCGCGTGTGTACGCGGCCGATTGGATTCCTAGAAAATATTATAATATCGTATTTAATTTATATATTAGTATATAAAATATATTACCCATATCGTTTTTATGTTACAGTATTATTACCGTGTGTGTGTGTGTGTATGATAATATGTGCTAACGGCCCCGTTCGATAACGAGTGGACTACTCTATGGCAATGGTCGAACACGAGCCGCCCGCGATAAGGTCATTCACAACTTCCTACCCGTGCCGCCGGTACTTATAATACCTAATAAATTTAAATAATATCTTAAAAATGTCTTATTAAACACAAACGCCGCCGTTTTTCGGTTACGATTTCCATAAAAAAAAAGTGATTTTAGGCCGTTTAAATTTGTATACATAACACAAACGTCGTATCGACTAAACGTGGACAATTTTGATCGACATTTGTGCCCCTCCAATCAACCCCTAAGAACGATACTCAAGTCTGGCAAGTTCAAAGACATTCCAATAGTTTTAGCACAGAATAGATGAAAGCAGAAGGGTCACTTTCTATTTAGTATCATATATTGTTATATCTGTGCACGACAAATAATAATAATGTATAGATATAACATTATAGAGGGGTAGCCTTAAGAAGATGGCGTAAGTATCTTCCACTGTGTTAATTTTTATCAGTGTCCGGGGCCTGCTTACAAGGGATAAAGACGATTTTCACGTCTAAAAAAAATGTCTTTAAACCTATGTAGACAATACACAAGCCGTTCACCCCGGGCCCACGGTTTGTCCTCTTTGAAATTCCTCCAGAAGAAAAGGTCCTCTGTACAAAAGATTTTTTTTTTCCAAAAAGAATAAACCCATAGAAACGTTTATCGTCCATGCGAACACTTCCTATAGACAGCATACCAAAACGGCTCAATCGGTTTTTAGGACCAATAGGGGCAAGTGGGGCATTCTTCGATTAATGTACAAAATACAATACTAGACTAAACACCGAACGACAACAGCAAGAACATGTTTTACAAAATGTACGGATCAGACATTTTACTTATATCTATTAATTCTAAGCCGAGTGAAATACTCGGATATTGCATCGACTACATTTACAACTTAAGTATAGTTTAACTAAATATAAGCTGTCAGACTACCGGTAAATTTTAAGTAGAGTTACCACATATAGGCAAATTAATTAATTTAAATTTACAATTTGTTTAACCCGAGTTTATATAAAATGTTAATAAAATCGGAGCTGGGCTCAAAAAGCATTAGGTAATACGTTTATTGGCCGTTTAGTATAGTTTACAGTTTAACAATAATATGATTTAATACTACATAAATAAAGCAAAACTGGTGAGAGCGGCTTAAATAAGTATCTATAATGTTTATAATAATTTTTTCACCATAATTTATTTATACATAATATTATGGAGGTAATCTTTTATGTTCTAAATTAATTTTCCTATTAAATAACTTTAATTTTGAAGTTGAGACTTAAAAATTAAGACTTTTTTCTAATGAATTTGCATTTATTAACTTTTACTTGTAACACAATAATCTATAACGTAAAATTAAACTTGGGCAGCGTTAGATTTACAATTAAACGAAACATAATATTCGTGTTTTGTGTTTTACTGAAAAAAAGTAGTTAATATTTTGTGCAGCACAGCGAGAGCTCGCTAGTTTTGGTAATTTATTTTTTTTTTGAAGAAGGTTTTTTTTTTCATCCTTAATCTACAACGTACATCTTTCATGAAATTATATACCTACACACACGCGACGGTTGAATCCAATAGGGGTATTTATTTTAATATGGTAGTACGTACAACACAATGTACAGGGTAGTCGTTATGGATTCCAGATTTTAGAAAAAAAAATAAAAGAAGAAAATGCACCCTACCAAATTTTCCAAACTTGCCCCCAAAGGGGGGGAGGGGAAAACCAAAGGCCCCGGTAGTTACCTGTGGGTTGTTGCGCTCGTCGTAGCAGTGATTGCGGCCGGTGTTGTCGATGGGTTCGGCCTTTGCCGGCGGAATTTCGGGCTCGGCGACCGCGGCCGACAGTAGCAAAAGCACGGGCAGCAGAAGCGGCGATCCACGGTACGTCTTCATCTCGACGGGGTGCGGTAAAAACAGATTAAAAAAAAATTACTTAATTAAAACACCCAAAACTTTTTACACACACACTACACGGTCACCGCGAAAACCGCATCGTTTCGTTTCGTCGTTGGTCGCGCACCGACCGACGAAAAAAAAATATTATTTTTCTCAGTCGTAAGGACACACACACAACTGAGAGAAGATAGATAAATATAATAATTATAACAGTATAAGGCGACGGTGTTTTCGAGGGTCTCGCGTACCGGGCAACCGCGGCGCATGTGGCCGCCAAATGTGTGGAAGGAAGACTGCGGCGACGGCGACCGGACGGACGGGAGAAGAGACGGAGGCAACGACACGTGAACTGCACCAACGGACCGTCGAACGAGCACTATGCGAGCACCACGTTCCCGTCTATAGTCTATAGGATAACACCACCACTATACGGGATGCTGTCGGTGTAACACCACGGTGCTGTTGCGGCGCTCCTCTACATCAGCCAGACCCTATGGTCGTCACGAAAATACCTATTACTACACCACCCCGTGCCTATCTATACACAAAAAAAAAAATACATAGTTCAGCCGACTAATTTTTAGTTAAAGCTACGCAACTGCTGTACATTTAGTTACTATTTATTTGGTTAAGGTCAATTTCGATTAGAGTAACTCGTGGTTTTACTCGATATGATCAACCCTATCCACAATAAACTATAAGTCTTATAAACTAACACCCGTATATCGGCGACCATGCCTTAACCGCACAGTGCAATATAAAGGCAATAATGTGCTTAAAATTATACCACAAGTATATTAGAGAGGGTGCGGTTATGGTTATTTGTTGCCCCCATATATTGTGATCAACAATAAAAAAAGAAAATATTTTTAAACACCCGTTGACTGTTGTTACACTCATACGTGGCAGCCGAGCAATTTTCGGAACGGTCAGTGTAATTTTCCTATTTTTTATTTTCCTTAATAAAACCGTATAATGTTATAGCCCCACTCTAGCCGTACCTTTTAATTAAGTTATTAATTTTATGATCTAATTTTCAGACCATAGGTATTAAAATCTCGCTCGAAATAAAGCAAAAGTTTGCTCCCCTTCATGGGGAAAGGGTTTATGATATTTTTGGGGGTTTTCAACGTGTATTCAAGTAATAAACTGCAATAATATAATATAGTCTTACTACAAATATTCAAAAAGTACAAAGAGAAAAAATGTCCGGAGAACTACTAGTCCGGACATGACTAATGTCGTAAAAAAGACTATGAAATATTGGACTCGGGGACATTTTTTTTTTTTTAATGACTTTATTGAATAACACAGAAACATTAAACATTCAATAAATCATGTGTAAAAAAACAAACCGAGCCAGCCATCGTAAAAAACCCTAGACATCGTAACTATAAGGATAAATACCTTAAAAAAAAAACCTTTATCGACTGTGCTTAAGGACATTTTGGAAAAAAAAACGTTATTCCCTAAACCAAAACAGAGCCTTCAACTGATGCAAATTGTTGTACTCAAGTGATTACCGTTGTTTTTAATTTTTAATTTTAATAAAACCAAAATGTTGAAAAACCCTAGGCTTAGGCTGAGTTGTTTCTAAATAAACTGTGGTCGGATAGGTTGGATTGGATTAGGTAGGATGATTTTTTAGGAACAACGGGGTGTGCTTTCCAAATGTATGCTTTGTATACTTGGAAGATTTTCAAGCGTGCTACGCAGATTTAAAACCAATTGTTTGGAAGGGTCGTGCGCAAAACCATTACCCGCCGAGGTCAGAAAATGTATGGTGGGTGGAGGTAAAAAAAAAAAAAATTGTGACCAGCACTGTTCTTTTGTTGAAGGCAGTAATAACAATAATAATAATAGTAATAGGTTGGGTTAAGTACCATCCATAGGTACTGTAATAACGCAATAATATTATGAGGGTTTAATGGATATCCGTAATAACAGTGTAACAGCCACTATGAATTTATATGTAGGTACACGTGCATAGTTACTGCCGAGATAGCTTTCTTTTTATACCTTAAGGTTACTTTTTTTCAATTAAAAAACTTTAGGTGTGTGCACCGTGAATATAATACATATTATTATTATATTTTATAGGCATAAAGTAATATCATTGAGTATATATTGTCAATATATACTCAATGGTAATATGTATTTATTAATATGCTATTTTTTTTTTAAGAATGTGTTGTAATTAGATTTAGATTTACATAAAAAATAATAGGCAATAATAATTCCCATCTTGAGAATATAGAAAAATGAACTTGTGCCCTTGTGTAATTTAGTTCTAGTTAAAATATGTAATTTTATTATAATTTTTAACTCATTAACGCGTTTGACTAAGTCCGTGTATAATAAAAATATTTGAATTTGAATATTTAAATTTTAATGTTATTTCGTCAACAACAACAAAAATAATCGTATTTACATTTCATATTTCACATAGCGGAATCTCATAACATGTGTGTGTGTGTGTGTGTGTTTATTCAGATGTAATTATGACTGATTTACATTAATAGCCTAAACCTATGTGTGATACATTATCATTATTATTATTATGGTGAAGCGATAGCAACGTGACAGTAATATATATTTTTGCTATAAAACTACAAACAAAAAAAATGTGTATATTTTACAAAAAGTAATGCTGCGAATGAATAAATTATTATTGCACCGTGTGTGTGTTTTTTTTTCAAGCATTTCTGAAATTCGCCAAGAAACCCGGAGCGGTGGAAGGGAAGCGGTTTTGGCTGTTATAGCTATAAAGTGATCAATGGCACCGGCCTACGCGTACACCTGACCGCACAATACCGTACTGCTGGTATAGGTAGGTATATCACATACAATATAACATGTTATACTACACTATATTATTACTATACAACATATTATGTACATGACAGAGAGCACCTTGCCCGTTTGTGTTCCATTCATGCGCGAGATCAGCAGGACCTTCATTCATGGATCGCGTGGGTCTAACGTTAATCGGCGGATTAAGAAAATACGTCGATTTTGCACATAGTCTCTGTGTGACACCTTTCCCTTTTCCTCCATACCAGACAATTGGTCGATTTCATTTTCCACCAAAAGTACACACAACGTCAATTCAAATAAGTTGATAAATTGTCTACTAAGATAATATAGGAATTCGTTTTCAAACAAAGTAAATAAACGCAGGTAAGTGCTATTAAACGGTGATACACTTTGGAAACAGTTACGATTTTGTAGATTTTATTTTTTTTGGAAACATTTTAATTTATGTTGTTTAAAAATATTAGGCAAGATTAGTTTTAAAAACAGGCATTATTTACTGGTTGATAATAATCAGTTTTGAGTATAATTACTTTTAAAGTTATTAGAGTTTGAAATTTAGACAGATATAATTTACACAGATAAAAATAATACTTCACCTTACACCTTACACCTTACACCTGTAAAAAAGATAAATAATTTGTAATTTATTTATGACATGATATTGTACAATAAAATAAAAAATGTTTCCAAAAAAAATAAACTACAAACTTGTATTTATTTTTCGAGCAAATTAGTGTCTCGCGTTGAATGGATATAATACCATGATATGTTATTTAAACAATATGTGAAGTTTTTTTAGTATCATAAGTCCATGCATTGAAATTATGTTTAGAACACAAGTGAGGGGAAAAATGAATAGTATAAACTAGGCTCAGTGTAAGTTCTAAGCTTTGATTGTAACAGTTCTAAACTTGTTCAAAAGTTTAGACGATTAAGTTTTTGCAGTCAAATTTGTTAACTAAAAATATTGAAGTTGGAACAACAGAAGGTTTTTTAGTAGTCATAAACCGCGTCATCTACTTGTCGCGACTGAACGGTTATTTGGTTTATTGAACTTGTTGTGTTTGCCTATGAAAAACTTTTATGATGTGATGATTGTTTAAGGCTGACGAAATTTTTTGTATCAAAACCGAAATGTTCCTATTGGCTGTCCATTTTTATTCGACAATTGACTTAACTTAACTATTTAGTAATTGTTGTACATTGCTCTGAACAGTTAACACAACAGCCATGCTGTACTATTAACTAAACATTGTTGAAAAATATGTTATCACATCAGAAAACAATGCGCGCCCAACCATCAACAGTGGGTACACAATAAACATATAATAATATATCAGTCAGTTATGATATACATACAGGGTTATCTAAATATCACTGTACAGCATTTATTTTTTCATAAAATAATTATATAAGCAAAAAAAAAAAGTTTCAAACGAGATACTTTTCATGTATTATAACGATATAAAAATATGTTTAATGTTTAGTAAAAATAAAAGTTGTATTTTAAAATACTAATATTGTTAAAAGTCGAATGGCAACATGTTGTGTTCAATATTGCGGTCAATTAGTCGATTAGTGTAAAAATATATAAATATAATACTTACACAATATTTTGTTCTCGATAATAGTGTTTTTGAGAACGCACTTTAATAATAGGATTTTATTGATTTCTAATAAAACTAAGGCACCCCCTCCCCCCTCTTAATTTTCACTTTCGGGCGCCGGATTTGATTCGAAACCATTTTTTTTCGGTTTTAGCTAAAACAATATAATGAGAACGCAAAGGAGAGATGATTGGAATTTGGATAACCCTGTATATCATGTAATATCACAGCAGCTGATAGTGTCTTTCTCCCACTTGCTCTCTCGGTGGTCACCCGACAAACCTTTACCCCGGCTTTAATTATTAGTATATATTGTTGGCTGTTGTGTGCATATTGTGCGCTCATCGTTATCAGTCCACGACGGTATTTTCTACAGGTAACACACACACACAAACGACAGCAGCTGTTGATACACATAATATTAATATATTATTTTAATAACCACCGTGTACACACCCGCAGCTGTAGGTAAGCCGAGCTCGGCAGTAGTGTCGTGTAGCCGTCACGCGCGTGCAGTACTTAGACTTGATTGTTATTATTTTTAAATAATCTACCCAAAGACGATCGCACGGGTGTCGGGATGGATTAAAAAAAACGCTTTGGCCAAGCGACAAGTGAGTGCCTTTTTTTTTATTATTCTATTTGTATACATACACACACGAGGTGTGCCGAAAACGACCGACCGATTTGCCTAAGTAGAAACTGTCCTGAAACCCATAAAACGCACACAAAAGTTGTTGATTTTTTCCAAAAAAAAAATATCCCAGTTTTCCACAACGACTAAACGGTTTTAAATCAAACGTCTTAGACCATTATTGTAATTTTTTTTTTGGACTACAACGCCTCTGGATTGTGTGGACTTGTGTCGTGCAGGGTTCATGCGGGGCTTTATGGTTAACTAAATAAATCAGCTATGATTGTCTTAATCGAGGACAATGGCGAGATAAAAATTATAATTTGTAAACATTTAACTGTTTACTTTCCACGATAAATGGCGATATTATTATGATTTTACACACAATATATTTTACCATAAAAAACACACCGACCGTGTTTCCCTTTATAAACATAATATTGTACGTCATATATATAATATATTATATTTCAACAAGATAATCGGCTTATTTGTGATAAGCTGTCGAATTGGACTTGGCTAGACTTTTGACGTCCAACCGAATTAATGAGTTTTGAGCTGATACGGTTTACAGCTGTTTTACATGCCTACTGCTGATTATGAATTGGATACAAAGTCGAATGTACATAATATATTAAACATGCTAATATTTTACACAATCGTTTTCATATCCATAATATTATTATACTAATTTGTTGTTGTTGTTGTTGTAAGGCACTTAAGTCGGTCTAAGGTGATTTAAAACTGATAATTAGGAAAATTATCGTTTAAAAGCGTTTAAGCTTTATTTACTACTTTATACGTCGAAATAGAAACCCCTTTCGTTGTAGACTTTTTAGACTTGTCGATTTAAAATTTTTTAACTTGAGCTGATTTTGTTTTTTTTAATTAAACTTCGATTTTTTACATTAATTAAAAGTATAAAAAAATCATTTTATTAAAAATAGACATCATTATAAAACGCGGAATAAATTTTAAGGCTAAAACTTAAATTTACAGTAGAGTAGTGAAACATTTCAAAATAATATTGGACTGGTAGCGAGTGACATGATTATACAAAATTAGTTAAAAAATGTATTAATTATCAAAACATGATTACATTATCTCTTTATTACCACAATAGGTAATAAAAAAGATAATTTTTTTAGAATCTTCATCACAGACAATTTTTTGTACGCTTTAAAAGTACATAATATAAACTTAATAGTAATATTATTATTATTTGACTTCAGAGTCGGGTACAATTATTATAGTTAAGCTTACAAATAGGTTTAAAGCTCAAAAGTGTTATATTTGTTTAAAATAAAACAATCATTTCATTTCACTACAACGCGTCAAGTCAAAATACATTTAACATTTTATTTTATTCTAATAATTTAATAGATAACAGAAGGTATTTTTTTCATTAACATAATCTACTGTTTATTTCTTCATCACTAAACTATACATAACTTTTATTTTCAATTCTAATTCTATCAAACCTAATCACTGCATTCATATTTTTCATATAAGTCTTTTTCTACTTTGCCTTTCTCATATATTTCAAATATTCGTTTTGTATTCACCCTAATACACAAAATAGAGTAATTATTATTACTTTTACAATGCTTTTGTCCATAGGTAATACATATTTATTTTGTTACCTATATACTCTTGATGTTAACACCAAACAGACCCTTTGACTACACCAAACAAAACACTTCATCCGACTGTATATTTTCGAATATACCTGACCCGTCTACAGCCCCGTGAAAAAATTCCAACGTGATCTTAATATATTGTTTTAATCTTTTTTCCTGACAAAATATTTTGATAGGGTTGAATATCGACGGCTCTTAACTCTCAGACCGCGAAAGGAGGGTATGCCACGGCCGCTTGTCTTGGGGGAGGAGGACCGTCGATCGGCCAACGCGATAAACCCAAACGAGTTGGAAAAAAAATCATCCGATAATATTATAATTTTTTTTATTTCCATTAAAAATCATATTATAATCACACACGCACACACAAAAAATAAAATAACGACCGACTAAAAATGAAAAACCTGTTTAACGCTACGTTTTTCTTCTCTTAGGGATATCCGTCCGGTAGTGTTGTTATAATCACAAACACATCATTAGCATTATAATTAGGTGTGAAGGTAGTAAAATATTTTGTCATCCGGTTTTTTTTTTAATTCACCGAAAACCGCTAATGATAGACTTGTATTAACTTTAACCGATAACGCTCCACGGTCTCCCATCTAGATCTAGTGGTTCACTATAAAACGATCACTCTGTACATGCCATCCCGGTGTGTCTTCTTGTGGTTGATATCAGTCCGAGGCAAGGTGGGGTTTACACTGTAGTTATTGTGTTTTTTATCTGCCGTTTGTGTAAATACCGTCGCGGTTAAAATAACAATAATAATTGTTACCGTTTTTTTATTGTAGGTACGTTCACGGTAAATAAAATATTGTTCCCACCGTCAGCCGTTGTGATGAGTGTATAAAATTCCATCCATAACCCGCAGAGTAGCATCTTATTGCTACTTTAACCGAAATCCGAAATTATTGGACACATTTTTTTTTCTAATTTAATTTTTAATAAAAAAACATCTCAACCAAACAGAAATTATCATGTAAAATTTAGCTATATGCAGTTTACTGCAATTTTCTCTATAGTCGCGGTAAGAATACACTTTAAAATGTCAATCAACCGATAACGCATTGGCGCTATGATTTAAATTTTTTCAACCGACAACCTAAGCCCGTTAATCCAGGCGATAAGACCAACCTAACCTAACTTGTGACGGGTGTGTGTGAGCATGCAGTTCAGATATTCAACAGCATTCATACTAATAATTGAACCGATCATCGTACATTGCTACGATAAATTAATTAACTAACATAACATTTTTTTTTTTAATGATAGCATTAAAAATAACCGACGTTTTCAGCGGCCAAAAAGGTGAGTGCTGATATTTTTAACCCTTATTTAACTCCATTCGAAACTGGGGGACTGAACTGTCCATAATCCACATATAATTCATTGTTGATTCACATTCAAAATTATTTAATTATATCATTGCATAGGACGCGCAATCGATGGTGTTTTCGCGTGTATATCGTGTGTTTTATAATTGAACAGACTATTCTGTAAAACATTTATTACTATAATATTATATTATGTTCTTTCGGACAACCGGTCGTGTTTCGAGTCTCTTCGGAGCGAATATAATAATTATTAAAACAATAGTAAAATATATATATATATATATATATATATATATTGAAACAACAATAACTATGGTAAAACAATAGTCGTAAAAACCAATACACTACTAATAAGATTTACAGTCTGTTGCGTTATAGTAAGTAAACATAATAATGTTATACTGAGGCGCCATCGGTTGGGACTTACAAAAACGCGTTAATAATAAGATAATAATAATAATAATGTGTTGTTTATTTTACATTAGGCAAATTCAATGTCATCATCGACCGGTCGCAATCTTTTCTTAACACTTTGACATTTTGCATCAGTTAGAGGTGCTCAACACGTTTTTAAGAGATTAACCAAGACGTTTGCTTAAAAAATTAATCGGATAAGTGCTTACGAGTGGTTTTTACATTGGTAATGAGTCGCCACGACATTTTTTTTGACCGTCAATCGGTAATCTTAAAAACGGAACGAATTATATGCACTAGAAGATTAAGTTCAACGTTTTACGGTTGTAGAGACATCGTTAAAGTACACAAGTCGTCGACAATAATTATTAATATTCATTTCAAGTAACTTCGCTATGAAAAAAATCTCAAAAAATAGGATTTATTAAAAAACTATACGCAGTTTTCGCAACAGTAAACTTATCGAGTATAACAATTATTATAGAAATTATTTGGTGTGGTGTCTTAGTAACTTGTTCCAAATAGGGGTGAATAATTAAGTAGTACATGAGTAACCTTTCACCCCCTCCCCTCAATTACAGCAATGACAATAGTGCTATACATATTATAATGTGAAGATGACCAATTTTGTTTGTCTTGTCCATAGGTATCGGCCGCGTGCCGGTGTTGATGGACTGCAGTGACGACGACAAGGACGACACTTGTTCGACCAGCAGTACCGCCGAAGTGTTCGACGACGACCGCCGGGGGAACGAGCCGACGGATTTGCTGGACCTACTGGACCCGCGGTGTCTGCCCGACTTGTTGGATCCGTCCCGTCTGGTGTCCGTGCTGGACAGTTGCCTCGGGACCGATTACCTGCGCGGCTGCGTGGTCGAGACTTGGGACGGCGGGCTCAGCGAACACCTGGACGCCATCGCGCACCTGGTTCTGTACCAGGCGTCCGAGCACGTCGTCAGCCAGACGGTGTACGATCAGCTGACCGAACTGTCCGCGGCCCTGCGGCCCGCCGGCGACGGCCACGGTGACAGACAGCCGTGCGCCCGCGTGGACGCCGGCCGCGTGTACGGCACGTTGAGGTCGGCGGCCGGGTCGCTGTTGACCGCCCAGGTGGACCCGTGCTGCCGGCAGAGCATGTGCCGGGCGGTAGGCCTGGCCGTGATGGCGCTCCAGTCCAACACCAGGCCGGTGTTCTCGGTGGAAAACTTCCTGGAGGAGATCAACGGCGCGGCCAACTTCGCCAACCTGTACTGCACCGTGTACGCCAAGCGCATATGCGCCGTGCTCAAGGAAATTTACGACACAGTCATGGCCGGCGACTACCATCCCACCAACGTGGTGGTGCAAATGTCGGTGATGGAGAAGAGCATCAGGGCGGCGCTGGACACGCTGGCCGATCACCGGACGACGGCCGCGCAGAGGACGGCGGCGCAACGGTCGCTACTCGACGAGCTGGACGACATTTGCGCGACGGTGCGCATGAAGAACCACGGGTGCCTGGACTCGGCGTCATTGACGAGCGGATACGCCGACCTCGCTCGCCGACCGCCCAGCAGGCTGATGCACCTGACGCTGAGCCCGTGGCGGGCGCCCATCACCATGTATCACCAACAGTCCACGGCCAGCGTCGACCAGCTGTTCAAGAGCACCGTCCGGCTGGTCGAGACGCTGGTGACCGAAATTTTCAAACCTTGTCTGCCCAGACGAAACCGCCGGCGGAGCAAACAGCACTGACAGGCCGGACGGCCTTGCGCAAGACTTGGGACCAACATCAATGTTATATTAACACAATATGTATTTTGTCTTCATCTGTACATTTAATATGTGTATATTTTTTAAAGAATATCATTATTATTTTATAGTCTTCTATAAAAACGTGTAAATTATTATTATTAAGTTACTATTAGTGTGTGTGTGTTTTTTTAATTTTATAGATATTACTTATTACATTGTCATTATTTTCGGTTAAATTTTACCAAAATTTTATTGTTGCCAAACCATAATATCGTCGCGAGATAGTATATTGTGTTATTACATTTATTTATATTTATATTTTTTTTTTCATATTTTATATGAGCTTATTGTAAGACTACCTCGTAGGATGTTTTTATCGATTAAACGTAGATGAATTTCGTAAAATAATTATCATATATTTTATTATTGCGGGGCTCGGATTTCGTTTAATATTTAATGTTTTTCAGTTAAATTTAATATTATATCGGTTTAGTCGATAGAAATACTATGGTGCCTTGTAGAATTTGAAAGCACCATGAAATCCGAGCCCTGTTTGTATAAGTCGTCCCAATTGTAACATAATAAATTGAGCTTAATTGAGTCTCAACAAAAGGATACTAGGAAAAGTGGAAAAGTAGGTCAAGGGCCAAAACGAGTGATAAAATTATGAATATTTTATATTTGTTATACATAAATCAATATGGTAGTACACGCGATAGTATATAAACATAAAAAAAAAATCCCTATATAATAATCTAATATCGTTTGAGCTAAACAATGCACAGCACTTGGACGTACGATTCATAATCGAAAAACGTCAAAAAAAAAACCATAGTAATCGGTTAAAAATAATCGGTTACACAAAATATACTTAAAAAATAAAATATCATAACAAAAACAAATACATAATAATATTATTATATTTTATACGTCGACTAAATATTATAAATTAATGTACAAGTTGTTTTTTTTTTGTCTGTGTAAAACGACCGTTATGACTAAATATAACGTTTTACCAAAAAAAAAACTCAACGAATTGGTTTTATTTAATTAGCATTTTTTTTTTTTTCAACAAGATCGGAAAATATATAATAACACATTAAACTAACACGGTAATAATAATAAACGATACGGGGACAGGTTACATATTATATTAATATATTATCTAAAGTTTACAGTCAAAGAAGATGTACATAATAATAATGTTGTACTCTGTCTCGCGAGAGAACGGCACTGCGCAGTAATCCAAAACGCGTGGACTGCGCAGACAGCGGCGAGACACGCGCGTTCAACAGACGAACGCCGACTTGAGCCATTCGGCCAGGTTGAGCTTGATGTTACCGTTGAGCAGCGGGTCCTTGGACTCGAACAAGTTGAACGCTATGCTCAGGTGCAGTATGGCCGACACGAAGTCGCCGAACCTGAGCGTGCCGTCCTTGCGCATGTACCGCAGCACCAGCACGGACAGCACCTCCGAGTTGATCTGGAAGCCCACCTCGAGCAGCGCGTCCTTGAGCCGCTCCGCCTTGAGGATGCCCGTCTTGTCCTTGGAATGGTTTTTGAACACCGTCTGCCAGTACTTGAGGCTGCACATGAGGTCTTTGAAGTCGTTGAACTTCAGCCGCCCGCTGCCGGTGCTCTGGTACGCACAAACAAAACCAATTGAGTCCATTAAAAATGACGAGAACCTTTTCAATTTCAGTACTTAAGGTGTATTTAGTAGTATAAGTTTAGGTTAGGTTAGGTTAGGTTGGGTTGGGTTTGGTTAGGTTAGGTTAGGTTAGGTTAGGTTTGGTTTGGTTAGGTTTCTGAAAGTGACTTCTCATTTTAGTCTGTACTTCTATAAAATTTGTCGCTTTCATAAAGAAACAATGTCAACCCCTCCTATGAGGAAATACGTAATACTGTATATTATACAGGTACAAAATTCGAAAATATGTACATTTTTTAGAGTGTTAATGTTCAAAACAAAATTTGTTAACAGCGGCTCAAAAAAAAAACACCATTCGAAGATGATATTACTCACGTCTAAGGTAATGACTACTTGGCGGCACACTTCCATACTTGCACAGCTCTTGATGTAATCTGTAACGCAATGTTGTTTGTTGAATAATTTATCATTGGATTATTATTTATTTATGACGAAAATGATTTGTCATTCGTTAATTTAGCGCAAGCCAAGTCGATTATTATTACCGTTCGGCAGACATGCGTCCAACAGCTCTTGTAGTTCAAAAGCGTTGACCGTCCTGTGCTCGTCGGCCAACTGTAGGAACACTGATTCGTATTGGACAAACGTCTTGCCGTCCAAGTTGACCGGGGCCTAAATAATTTATCGGGTTATTAGTTGGTAAGTAAAACAACAGAATACACACGGAAAACGCAGTCCACTCACCTTCATTATGGCCGATTTCAACAGCGAAGGCACCGTGTCGAGTAGTCTGAAAGAAACAATGACAAAAATAATGATAATAGTGTTTTTTTTTAGCTGTCAGATGGCGTTTATCTCACTTGAGTTTCAACGGTTTGCTCGAGTAGACCCTCAGGGTGAATCCCGACTCTTGGCCGGGTTCGAAAGTCGTGGGGATGATCAGATAACCTCCTTGGTCCAGAAAGCACCGATGACTCACCTGAAACGAACGGGGGGGTGGGGCGGGTTAAATGTCGATGGTCGCGCAAGCCCAGGGGTTTTGTATAGGCAAAACAAACGGCTCACCTGTCTGCTGTTGGTGTACTGCGAATTGACCAGGGACTTGTTCTTTTTGAAAAACTCTTTGCCCGTCGAGTCCATGCACGATTTGGGCAACGAGTACGACGTGAAACCGATGACTTTGGGTTCCATGATGCTGTGTTGGTTCAGCGATATCACCACCTCTTCCATTTCGCTCAAGATCAAGTGCAGTTGCGGATTCACGTGAAACGTTTCTGCGCAATCAATCAAACCGGACAATTTTATTAGGTATTTTACCTAATAATTGTTTCCTAGCCGTTTAACACCACCACCTGCCTTAACCCACCTGGATTGTTCCTGCACCCTCCGGCAGTGACTCCTTTCTGCCAAGTGCCCTGGTGAAGTCTCATTTGCCAAGTCCGCTTGTGGTGCAACGACGGTTCGTCCCGGCTCGTGTCGCTGTCCAAGTGCACCATTTCCACGTGGGTGAACGTTTTCACAAACTCGGTGTAGTTCATCCTGCGACACACACAGTGAAACCTTTTTTTTTTAGCTCAACTGGCGACCAAAAAAAAAAAAATGGTAATATGTGGCATTACCAAAATTCTCCTTCCAGTAAATGAAGAGCGTTGATTCTGTCCTTTTCCTTGTGCGGAACGTCGTCCCAATCTTCGGCATCTCTAGACCACGGGCCCGTGTACTCTGACCCGGTGCCGCCGGGCTGCCTCAACTTGAACAACTGTAGGGGTTCGTTTTTGTACGTTTCCAACTGAAAAAGAAGGGAAAAAATGGTTTAAAATTGGCTAATTTGTATAAATTAAACAGCTCCAAATTTGTACAAAGCTAGAGAAATACAATACCAAAAAGTACATTAAGGTGTAGTAAAAATAATGAAAATTTTTGAAAACGTTTTCGTAATACCTTACAAACCTAGCGTCTCGGTGTATATAAACCTAAAGTAAAAAAAAAATATTTAAAAAAAATATTTCCCCCGCCTCAAGTCGAAAAACCAAATATTCAGCAAAAGTATTTAGAATTTTCTATCATAACTCAAAAAGTTTCAATGCTAAAAAAATAAAAAATACTATTAATTCGCAGAGAACTATATTCTGCATATTATACGTGTGTAGAATTTTTTTTTTTTTAATCGCCAAAAATAAAATTTTAAATTTAAAAAAAATACAAAAACAATTTTTTTTTAACTTTGATTTAATCTTTAAAGTGAATAATAAAGTTTTTTTTGAAAAAATAGTTTTTCTACGCTATAGACTAGTTTGTTTCACATCAAAATTAGACTTGAAAAAAATATAAATTTATAAAAAAAAATTAAATTTCAATCGAGTTTTTGCACACGTCTTGTTCATAGTGAACATTAATTTACTGAAAATACTGGCTAAAAATATATATTCCTGTAATATGTATGCAAACATCAGTCATCAAAAAGAAAACAAGTAGTTATATTATTATAAACTACTATTTCGTGACTCTGAGAAATCATTATTTACAACTTTTCACATAATCCGGGTTTTTTTTTTTTTTTTTTTTTTACGTTTGTTTTACATATATAAATATTATATATATATATATATATATATTTTTTTTTTTTCAAATCTGATTTTGGTGTGAAATAAACTAGTCTAGAGCGTAGAAAAACTATTTTTTCAAAAAACTTTATTATTCACTTTAAAAATTAAATCAAAATTAAAAAGTAATTTTTTTTGCATGTTTTTAAATTTTATTTTTGGCGATTAACCTAACCTAACCGAGACGCTAATTTTGTAAGGTATTACGAAAACGTTTTCAAAAATTTCCTTTTTTCACTTCACTCTAATGTACACATGGTAACGAAATGTCGATGATTATTATTATTCTTACCCTTTCGACGGCGCACAGTCTATAGTTCAACCCGACTTGAATGCCATTGGATAGTTTTTCTGGTACGCTTTTGCTGGTCTGAAACAATCACACCACAAACGTTACCACTATACAAAAGAATTATGTTTGAACTAGACAAAGTTCGTTTTTTTATGGATTAAACTGTTGTGGAAAAAAGTTAAAGAACGGTTTAGTGCAGGTTTGGCGAGTAGAAAATCCTTTTTACAGTTGACAATAAAAATATTAGCATTTTTTTTATTTTTATTAAATATTCGAGCGGAATAACCCGTGTATTTTAAATATACTTGTAAATATTTGTCTGTTTTGTTTTCTCAACACTATAATTATCGTTAAGACGGTAATCGACCGGTTGGGTTATAGTGTCCGATCGGAACGGACGACATGCTGAATAAGGAACTGTCTATCGAACCGTATTTGGATTCGTCTGAAGGTTAAAAATGTAAATACATATAATCTTATAAAACCGGGTACTACTAGATAGAAGACTATCGTAGGAAAACCCATTAGACAGGTTGTTGCACCTCGACAAGAGTAGGTGGTGTACTTAAACAAATGCCAAATCCATTACAGCGTTTGACTATTAGGTGTTTTTCAAGTGTCTTGCCAATAATAATATTTCTATTGAAGGGAAAAAAACGGTTTCTAGGCGAGCGAAATTTCAGTTATTTTTGTGCAACGTGCAATTAAACAGAGGAAACCGGCCGGATTGTATGTGATTAAACCGACATACCGGTCCGAAAGAGAAACCGTATCGACGTGGTAGGAGACTCGAGTTCAATTTGGCACACAACAGACGGCGGTGTAGTGTAGACAAATTAAACGGTCCGGTAATAAGAAGTATAAAACGACCACCACAAGTCTAACCGCAATAACGACCACCAGTAACCGACATTGGATTAGGTAGGTTTACCGGTGGTTAACCGTTGTGGAAAAACCACAGATCAGTTCTGATTGGTTAGATTTGGTCCCTTCCCGAGCAAATCGACTTGGTCGGTCGATTTGGGTTGGGTTAGGTCTGGTGTAATGACGTGTCTTTGCAAATTGTAAATTGTAAAATATATCAGCTGTACAGCAATTTTATACCGCCGCCGGGTTTAGAGGAATTCAACAACGAAGGTAAGTACATACCTGAGGCGTCGTCGGCTGAACGGTACACGTGACGATGGAAGTCATGTCCAACATTTTGCCAATCATTCGGCCGCACGTGGTCTGGTCTTGTCTGATGTTAATGCTTTCGGTGATTCCGCCCGTCAGATCGGCCAGACCGTCCAACAGAGTGCCGTACTTGAGAGCCTCGTAAGACCCGTGTAACCTGAAAAAAAAAGTCCATAATATAGTCCAAAACTAGCCGACAATCAATGTCGGGGTTCAGATCATTTTGTTTTGTCAAAATAATGTAAACTGGCGCAGTCGGATTGGATTAGGACGCTACCATGTGTGTGTTGTTTAATTTAACAGACAAAACCACTTGATGATGTTTACTCGAAAACTCATTAAACGGGTAAATAAAATAAAAATACCAACCAAAAGTAGGTCCTAACAATTAAAATACACTTACGTCCGGAGTGTACCAAAACAGCGGTAATGCGACTACCATAACGAATGATGGACTTGCACGGATTATTCGGCGGTAAAGTGAAATCAACCCAATTGCCCCGACCGTGTAGTTTTTACATATTTTAATTATTGCAATAGCGAGTTGAAAACATGATTAAAAAACGTCCACTATTTCCCTCTTTGCTCTTTCCGGTAAAACATATTTTCACAAAAGCGGTTCCGGTTAAATAATAATAATAATATTATCCTCTCGTTTTTTTAATTATGTTCTTCTTTTTAAAACGACAACACCGTTCAGTAATAACAACAAGTTTATGGTATTTTTTTTTATAGTTTAATTTCCACTTTCACCGTCAAATAAAATATAGATTTATTTTTTGTTATTCCAAAAAAAAACCAGTCTCGTTATTATCGTTTTTACAACAAAACCGATGCGATGGTGTGAAATGTATATTTTTTGTGCACTTGCAATCGCCGCTGTGATCAAAACGTTTGAGGTCAAGGTTTAAACCACTGTGCTAATGTTCATACACACTCTAGGCCACTCTCTTTGTCCCCTTTCTTTGTCCGTCTAATTTTTCACCGTATTTATTTTTTCTTTCCATCGCAATTAATAGTTTTGCATATTGTTTTCGGTGTGGCTTTCTTTAACGTTGCGATCGAAGGTCGAATGATTTATGACAGGAGCCGAATTTGCCCTCGAGCGGCGGACGGAGACTTAAACGAACCCCGCGAGGGCCCCGCTTTCGTTAAAGTCTCCATCCGAAATTTTGAACAGTCTAGTAAAAATCAACGACGCTGATATTGTTTTCCAATTTGCATTGCCATATCGTTATTGTATATATATTTGTAATATAGTTTAGGCTATTGGCGGCGCATCGGACAGCGACAAAGAGCAAGTACAACAACCGTCGGACACACATTTTTAAACCTATAGGAATATACTTTCACATTTTTCAAACGGGTCAATATTCCAAACGGACAGACAAACACACACACACGGTACTGCTATAAGATGCCATTTATACAATGTTAAATTATTACTATTATTAGTGTAGTACCGCACGATTAGTGGATAAAGCACCGCGGCAACTAGACACATACACATACACGACTCGACCTTATAATAAAAAATATTACTTATACACTACAGTGGAACGACTTGACCGTTGTGGAATTCAAGTTCACTGGCAAACGCGTTTTCATTCGAAGGTTTCCATTCGAAAGTGATGAACATGTGTGTGATTGTGTGTTTCTGAGTACACACACACTAAATACCTAGTGTAAATTCCAAAGTACATATTATACCTATACATATATAAATCGTGGTCGATCCAAGCCCGGGAATTGTTTTTGCTTTAATACTTTACTTTCAGTTTTTTTTAAAATATTTTTTTATTAGTGTTTGGTTAAGTTTGTTAGCCTACAAATGTATTGCAGTAAAGTATTGTAGGTTTTTTATAGATCATCTTTAACTGTATGAAATCAAATGATGGCAATCTAACCGGTCTTGGTTTAATTTTCGTCTGTTGATATGATGTAAAAAAATCCAAAAAAAATCACGCTGTTACCTAATCGTCGGCGATTGTTTCGTTTTAATTAATTTCATTATGACTTTTGTAATAATTTCTAAATCAATGTCCATATTCGGCCTGGCCAAAGCCGTCGCGCTCACCTGATCGTCGCGCACGGTTAAACCGTCGAAACCGCGTTTTGGTTAAGCCCCGAAGATCGGACAAAACCTTTTTTTTTTTCCTTATAGAGTTTAACGACCTCCGCGTGTATTAAAATAATTTTGGCCCATTTCCCGGCCAAGCCGGTAGTGTTTCTGGGCGTATCCAATGCACGTTACTCGACGCCACACGTCCAAAATACAAAATTCCTACGCCGAGTTAGCATAGGTTGCCTAAGATTAATATATTATTCCAGAGCAGACCGCCCATCGATGAATCTATCATTTCATCACGACCGACGATGACCATCGGCAAAACGTTAATCGTTCTGCCCTGGTTTTCAATTCGAGTACGCGTTATCGTTGCTAAGATCAATAATATTACACGCTATTCTGCTAAGGCATGTAAATCATCGGGTCCGAGCAGTAAAATCCATTCAAATTCAAACGAGGTTTAATCAAACGTCCAAATCCCCGGTAGTAAGTTCTGATCTTCCAATAAAACTTACACACAGCAACCCTACGACACACTTCCTTTCTCCCTTTAGTCATCTCGTTTTTCGTTATCATAATGTAATTATCAATGCATCCTTCGTTATCAGGCCTCCATCTGTTATCAGCAGGCAACGGTAGTCAAAGACGTGATAAATTAATTTCCATGGTGAATATAAGTATTTAGATTTCAAACAAACCTGATTCCCTCCTAGCCAAATTCATTGGTCACATCTTTATGCAACTACCATCGTCTATTGATCATTCCTCATCAGCTGCCCGTCTCTTTTTAATATAATATAATATACTTTTTAAACAGCTTTTTTAACAACAATATAAAAAAAAAGTAGGCTTTATATGGAAGTCAATATGGATTGCTTTCTGATCTCAAATATACTCACAGCTAAAACAACCTTTTCATTCATTTCACTTTGTTGTGGAACAGCGAACACCAACTGATCTGAGTAAAAGCTAATTTAATTGTACCGATTTTGTACTCGTGTTCGATTTTTTATTATTTTTAGTATTTCTTAAAGATGGCGCAGAGTGAATCCAACGACCGTTAAGACAGCTAGACCGTTTCACACAGATTCAATGCTCTACTTACTCATTGGGCTCATCTGCCTCGTAGTGTGGCAAACGGTCGGTATACCACAAGAGAATGCCTGGGTCGAAGGCTTGTCAATGATAACGCTCATTGTGTTCCTATCCAAACAAACGTTGCCGGCGAAAGGGAACATTGTGTGTCATATAAAATCCAAGGACGGACGTTCTCGCACGTGAGAATCTCTTGGCCGTGATCGGAAAGACAAACATAATGAATTATTACCGAATAGCTGTTGATTGAACGGACCAAACCGCCGTAGTCCATGACCGTACGGCAACAACACTAATGTTACCATAACTTGACAGTGTAGTTCACCGACCACGTCTTGTACAGTGACTTGAAATTGAAATAAACTTAAAAATTAAAGAAAAAAAATCATCTGCAATTCTCCTCGTCATGACAGAACTAATGTGATCGCCACAGGCCACTGCCATTAGGAATATTTCTGATAGTAGAATTAAATCAGACGTCTTTCATTTAAGGGAGAATATGTTGATTTTGTGGTGAAAAACTTGTGACTTTGATCTGTTGGATTTATCTATTCTATTTATTCTCTTTTAAATTTACTCTGCTCACGAGCACACGGATGACTAAAAATGCGATCGCTTAAATCCACAAAATGACTTGTACAACATAAAACCTATCCTAATCGACATAATATTATTATGTTCAATGTCAATGACATATGTTTACCAACGGTCTTTGTGTTAACGACGATAGCAGCAGTCGACGGGTTAAGGTTCTAATAATAATAATAATAAAAAATAGAAATCTTCTTCTTTCAAAACGTCGAAGGTCATACCTCGAAAAACATCAGTGCACAACTGCGTTCGGTGTTGTAAGCGTAAGCATAGCGCACACGCATACAAAGTGGACAAACTAATACTTTTTTAAATATAATTTTCTGTTCAGTTGATATTTTTTTTTTTACAAGAAGATCTCACGACTGACTTTGTTTTCGGAGATAAGAAAAATGTCAAGCGGAAAATTATTCTGCCGTGCTTATTAGAAATGTCCTTTCTGCATTTTGCTCGGGACGGTCGGATAGGACACTTTTTCTCTCCTAGTTTACCTTAGAAAACTGTAGATAAAACGAATCTTTCATGAGCTCCAGAGAGCCAAACCGTTTGCCAATGACCGTCTAACCAGAGAGACGAGCAAATTGTCAGAGACAAACCCGATGGCGTTAACCGGATGTAATTTGCTCTTTTCTTAATTATTATTTTTTATGTCGTTCGATAAATTGCTCGAGTCGTATAGGTATATACTCACTTGGCGTACGCTTTTTCCAACAGCCCTGGCCAGAACTGGTCGGTATGCGACGACTGTAGAAACGCCAATCGGTTGTTAACTGTGGGCAACCGGTCGTCGACCAGCACTTCCATCCATTCGCCGCACCACCACAACCGAAACCGGAATACGCCACAATAGTCTTTGTCGGTGCACAGCGTCTGATCGGCAGGAACGACCCGGTAGAACAGACCTTTGCAAAGGTACAAGACGCCCAGGCAAGACACCAGCCACTTGTCACCTACAAACAGAGGGAAGGATAAAAATTTGAAAAAAAAATTATCTCGGACATAACAGGTTAAAATACAATTATTGGCTTTTTTCCTATACGTTAAATACAAATAGTCAGCAACTATCAAAGCTGAGTCGTTCACACGTTGCGCCTAGAAATTTACTACAAGTAGTACTTCTTTTTTTATGAAATATGAAAATCTGTTTTTGGGTGAAAACAAAAAAAATATTTTTTTGAGCTCAAACGATAAAAAACACCACCTGTTCTTTGGGAGGGGGGGTGATTTGTCAGTCTAGACTGAATAGGTAGATTTCTAATTTTCAAAATTAGACTACACACCGTCGATGCCCGTGGGTTTCCAATCCCCCCCTGCCTCTCCCCCACGACCGGTGTATAATATTATAATAGGACAATTATCGCGTAGAGTCTTATAGGAACGTCTTCCGGCGCATCGTCACGGCAGACCATATCAGAAACTACACAAACCGCAAGTGTCTGCCCAATTTGTTCCGGACTTGTGAACATGGTCGCGACGACATCGATACACATGGCATCATCTCACACGGGCTGACGTTTGTAAAATTAATAATATTACAAACAGAACAAAGAGCAATTTAATACTTAATTACGCGCACTCTCCTACTTCAGTCGAGTAATTAAACAGAAGGAGAGGCGTCAGACATAGACAATGTATAATTTCACCAAAAATACAAACTTTAAAAAAGAAAAAAAAATGTATAAAACCAACACAACTTGTTTCGCACATCAACCAAGCTAATAATTCCTATAAACGTCTGGTTAAGTCAATTATGAACTTTTAGCAGTAATAAACTTTCAGTAAATTAAATAATAACGTCGGCAATACTTTTATCGATTTAAATAGGTAACAGTTTTTTTTTATTTTAGTTTTTTCTGCAGTTTAATTTTGGTAGTTTGTATAACAAGTTTTTTTAAAAAAACCTAGTTAAAAAAAAACGTATTTATATATCTACTAATCATAGTTATGGGCGATGGGACAGTCATTAATTGGACATTAAAATAAATATTTACTTACACAACCGAATGGAATTTCAGCCACGGTAATAATACTGATAATATTATGATAATAATAATATATTAGGTATGATTTATGACTAATAATAATTTCACGGTTTATTTACTGCATAGTTTTATTTTTTTGGCCAGGAAATTAAATATTAATAACATTTATAAAAATATAAGTGTATCAATAATTTATTGTTTTTTTTTATATCTACATTGGATGAATATCTTAATATTGTACTCATCATTGCGAGCCCTCGGTTTTTAAAATATACGTCTAGCGAGGAAAACCTGAGGAAAAAAATTGCACATTTTATAATATTATTTCACAATGAGATCCGCACGTGCACTTGGCGCGATTCCGTTATGGCGCAACCAGCTTAAGATCGAATAATAATAATAATAATAATAACAATATCATTGCGTTGTTTCACTCGTCTAATAAAAAATAATAATGTTTATATAAAAAAAATATATATTATTGTAGAAATCTCTCAAACGTTTTCTCGCTGTTGATTAACGTTAATGCCCATCACGGCTACGGTTTAATCCGGTAGCCGGGCCTCATGAAAATACACTTCACACACTTTCATTTTGTAATTGAGAGTTTACACACACACCCGACCGTAGTACACTGTTTAATTATTATCGAGATGGCTATTATTACATATTAACACTTCTGCATTAAAGAAAAAAAAAAGTTAACACAACAATATAAACTATCATTTTTTTGATGGTTTGATAATGTCGTTTGAGAAAACGGCGATTTTACTACCGAGATTAGTGTAAAAATGTAATAATTGTTTTCAGAAGATTTGATTACATTTTTATGATCATTTTTTGTAAAACCCGTTAATTACACTAACAATTCTGATAACGCGGTTTTTAAAACAAGGATGTATTTTTTTTTACCAAGGTGTAAGGTCTCCGTTTAGTCGTATTGCCAGGGTGTTTTAAACGTTATCTAAGTTAAGAATAAATTCATAATAATTAGTCTAAAAACTATTGTAAATTTTAAGCCATTTTTTTTTTGTAAACTTGTAAGAAAGTAAGTTTTGTTCTTGGTGTTGCTTACAAATTTGAGTGCTAGAAAAGTACTAAGGCCAGAACCGAATTCAGCACAAAACAAATCCTAAACACATTGTATGTATTTGAAGATAAAATAATTTAAAACCAGCAGCTGCGGACGAAGCATCGGCGGCAATGTCTCACAGCACACTTTACCTATTATACCCTGGTGTACCCATATTTATAAATTGACCAAAATCCTAAGATGCGAAATGTCTATGCACAATTCTGAAATGATCCTCAGCTCTAAAGTATAATATCTATGTTAACATGTTTGGGGTTGGTTCCAAAATTATTATTAAATACAATAATATGGGTGTGTATGGAAAATATTTTCCATGTAATAATATTTTAATGAAATTGATGCTGGATTTTTTTTCAGTTAGTTAATATTTTATGTTTGGTAAAATATTATTATTTTTAAATTTGCATTACACTCATTCGTGAAAATTCCAATTAAGAAATATCATTTTAAATTCGCTTGAAACTAATTTGGAAACAATTTTACTCTGCTTAACATATATTTTTGCAAAATTGAACAATGGTAGTATAATATTAAAATCGTGATCAGAGTGGTCAGACAAAGATTTTTTTATTCATTAGTTTTTCTTCCAATCGTCATGCGTGTAAAACTTGTTTCTAAATTCCAATATATTAGTGGGTTGGTAAATATAAATTCAAAATCTCTTTGTTTAGTGTAATAATGTTAAGAAGTTTTTTTATGATTCTGTTACAAGTCCTTTTTCTCGGTTAAATATAACACACTGCGTTTGGGCACATGCCGTTTACTTCAAACGTTGCTGTATTAGCCCTAACGGTTTTCAATTCGCCTATATGTAAAAAAACTCACACGGCCTCTGTATTTAAATTTTTTTGTTTTTAGTAAGAGCGTGAGTTTTTTAAAATATTTTTATCACTGTTATTAACCGGTAATTTATAATTATTATAATACCGGATAATTTTTCAGATTATCATTTCGTGTTCGTAGCGGCCCTCATTGGAACATGATAATTTTTAAACGACTTAAAGTAACAGTTTGAAAAATATTAAGCCCACAAGAGTTAACGGGTTTTTTTTTTGGTAGATTTCACTCGACTTAAGAGATGTAATCACATGTCTTAAGTCTGACTCGATTTCCCACGCACCGATTAATAATATAATTGCTTTGCCAAATCTACCGAAAGCTGTTATTCCTTTTACTACGTTACACAACTCGCTTATACTGGAATTACATAAATACAATTAAAATTGTTAAATACAATTTAGCTACGCCGTTTAACAATATACATACCAGATAACTACCAGTTGTTCTGTTAAAAATATTTGTACACGGATGCGGAATGGAAAAAAAAATGTGTCCAACTGTGTATGTAACAAAATATCAGCAATACTTTTTCTTGGCCGTTTTTTTTTTTTTTGTCGATTTGATGAGTTCTGCTATTATTATTATTCTTATTATGATTGTTACATACCTAGTTGTCTCGAGAAATTCCATTTTATAGCACAAAGGGTAATATACAATGTATTTCTGGCATTCAATTTACACACTTGTATTACAATAAAATCGTCGAAAAGACTTTTGTTATTGTGATAGATATGTAAAAAAATTGTACACTCCAAGACTCAAAAATGTATTTTTTTCTTTTTAACAACATACAACTTCTTAGTTTTCACATTTAAATCTGCGCCCTTGAAAATCCAATCGACACACTAAAACGTCGTTCCTAACATCCAAAAATCGAATCGACCAGACTATTGTATATCTTTATGGAAATGTCCATAGCAAAAAAAAATTGAATTATCACTTTTTTTGCTTTCATAAGGTTGTGGCCGTCACGAGTTTGTTTTGATCTTATGATAAATATAGTTGTTCACGTACCAAATGGTCGAGCACAAAATATTATTATTGATAAAAAAAAACTATTCTAAACAAGGCGATGATCGTTATGTCATTTGAAATAACAACTGCACTGCTGTAAATATTATACACAGCAAAATATATATATACACCGCATATGGTTGGATTAAAATCAGCTGCTGTGAATTGACCATTAATATAATAATTTATCACTTTTTTTTTACTGGCCTGACCAACGCCTCTTAAGGTAACAAAGTATACATACTGTATTATGTACCTACGTCCTACAGAAAATACTATTAAAGAGTTTCAATAATGTGCGTTCAACTGAATTTGAACTAAATATTATGCGACTCGGAGCAATGCCTAATATGACGACTTATGTCATAGATAGAAAAATAACTTTAAAGTTAAGTTGAGATCAGTTTGTGCAACCTTTCCCCTTTTTAAAATAGAAAAAATCACACACAAAACTTACATATTTTTGTTAAAAAAAGAGCGCTATAGTTTTTTTTTTTTATTGTCTTAATACATCCAACCTTTAGATTGCATAAATAAGAAGTTGTGGTAAACACTTTAAGATTATGCTTTATAAAGATAGATGTTACTCTACTGTCCAACTTTATAATGATGATTTTGATGTTTTCTAATATAAATGGACTTTATTTTAAAACCATAAAGCCTAATCACAATACTAGACTCAAACAATTATCCAATTAAAATTCAATTCAGTTTAAAACTGTCTTTGATCAGAAAAGTGTATTTTTTGTTGAAACTGCACTATGCAGAAAATTAACTATCAATTTAGTAGTCATCATAAAATATTAAGCAAAAAAACGATTAATCAGTAACTACCACTAGATCACAATAATATTACCGTTTAGCACGCTTGAAGTCTTTTGTTTTTTTTTTCTCTTTTTTTTATAATTGTATTATTTTTTAGTAAATTAGATACGTTTATTTATGTTTTTTGTTTTGTTTTCTCTCTTCTTAAAGTTTTTAATTAAATGTTAACGTTTGTTTGCTTATATATTATACTCTAATTTGTATTTTGTTATAATCTATAATCATCATTTAACTAATGTACTATTAATGTTATATCATAGCTATTTAACTCACCTTATTTCCCACAAGCTTTGCTTATTGGGGAGGTGTCAATTTTTGGTCACATTAATATGTTTTTGTAAAATTCATATTTGTATTGTTGTTGCTAATAACGAATAAGAAATTATGATTGTATCATTACCCTTTTTCACAGAAGGGGTGGAAATGTTTTATTTGTTTGGTTTTAGGTGTAGTTTTACGGACTTGAGGTCTGGAAATCAGACTCAAGGTGAGTTTATTTTTTATGTTTTTTTAATATTATCAAAGTTATTATCAATTATTGCGCCGTTTCGACGAGCACGTGACGAATTGGACAAGGCACACTGCGAGGGAAAGTGTACTACATGATATACATAATAAGTGACACCGCCGGCATCAGCTGATGCGGAAGGAAATGCATTTGTACCGTACCGATGATAACAATGTGTGATTAAAAAACGAAACGAAACAAAAAAGATAAATCTCTGATGAATAATGCCTATTTTCACGCACACTGTCGACGAAATTAGGTACGGACACTCTCTCCGCCGATTGGGTTTTCCCGTACCCCCCCCCCCCCCTATAAAAGACAATAACCGCCTACTATGTATATTTTTTTTTTCAAATCCTAGTGAAAGTCAAAATGCAATGATTTTTCATAAAAAACCAACGCAAACGGGATGACAAAAAAAAAATGCCTGAGAACGGCACGAGACAATTTTTTTTCCAATTTAACAGTGTAAAATATGATGTTTTTTTCTCCACTTACAAATTTTACATTTCAAAATAAGCCAAAAAAAAAAATGTAGGTACTCACCCATTTTGCCGGGAGTGATGTCGAACTGAGACGAGGAATCGCTAACAAAAACTGGTTTGTTACAAATTTCCTGAAAAAAAAACAACATAAATTTTGTAATAAATACCGTAATTTTATTAAATGTAATAATTATACATAAAAAAAATAGTAAACTGTCCTTTTAAAAAGAATTAACAGTGATTAGTAAAATTTAATGAGTAGGTAGTAATAATTTATAAAATAACACTGTACTAGATGTTATGTTAACTCATTACGGTTCTATGTTGTAACAATTACACTATTATAAATTATTACTTATACTTCATTGTGTATTTTATTGTGTAAATTAAACCATTCCTTGATAATCAACCCAAGTTGTTTATTGAAATGTACGGAAAATATTAATTATTAACTAAGTTTAGTTTTTTTTTTACCTTTTCTTGTATAGTTCAAATACTTAAAGCATTACCTAGCACTTAATACAAAACAAATTTTAAGAGTTGTAGGTTTTAGTAAGGTTATTGTAAACGAACTAGGGAAAATATGTAAAATGCAATGTTTTGTACACAAAGCACGAACAATGTTTGTCATTTGGTTACTTATGTAGTATATTATCATATTATAGTTAAAAGTATCGAGTAACAACAAATTGACTATAGTTTTTAAATTTTTTATTTAAAAATAGTCATCTTATTATAACACAAAAAAACTGTTGAATCATTATATATTCCATGTTTTCAACGCTTCTGTGACTATTAACACCTTATCTCGACTTCTAAAACCACATGCTTATTCCTAATATTTTTTAAATAGTAACTAGTTATTAGACGATTTCGGAAAATAAATGATAAAGCTCTGAAAAAAAGGTAAAAATTTGAATATTGTCTAATATTGTAAAACAACATAGTACTAGAATAAAGTGTTTACAAAAAGAAAAACTAGAAAATTTTCTCAAAAAAAAACGATAAGTGTCTTCCGTTTTATTGATCACTGTGCGCATAAGATTAATATTGTGTTACTAAAAAGTGCCTACTTTTTCTTGCCTTATTTTATTGAACATAATATTATGCGACTTTTAGTAGTCCTTTTGGTAGTCCCAAGTTAATTTGTTCACTTCCCACAAGTGATTATATAGATATTATAGAATATATAGATTATGTTTTACTACACGACAGCAACGGTAAATGAATAATAATTTTTTTTTATATATTGTGACAAAGCATTTTTTGTACAGCAGCAAAAAACATTTTGCAGTAATATTATTATCGGGTCGTTTTCACAGAAGTCTCAACTCGCAGACACGTCCAACATACCGAAACTATATCTGATGATTGATCAATCTATCAATGATAAACCGTATGGAAATCTTACGAGAACAAATCCGTTCTGAATCAATTGACCGGTAACGAAAAAAACCGAACAAATAAATCCATCCCGTCTGACGGGTTTAACGAATCGGTTAACTTCTGGCATTCTAACGGGTGAACGAGTTAACGCATGCATTTATTATTATATTATATTTTATTGTGTATACCGTGCAAGGCGGCTAGCCGAGATTAATGATCAAAACTCGGATTTCCATATGATAAAACGATGGGAAAAAAAAATCGTCCTACAAATAATAATCAACCGATAAAATAGATACTGGTTTTTTACAAATTTTTGTTTGCACTGTCCATCTTAAGGCAATCTTATTTTCTAATTTTCGAGCACTCTACTTTGTACATAAGTCTCATTGGACAGCTGATGAGTTTAGCTTGAAAGCTACTAAAGTGGGGCAAAGCGGATCTCTGCGGCAAAACGGACCCTCCTTAATTTTTTCACTGGTGTAGCGAAAAGTATACACAGTAAATAACCCTTGTCTAAAAATTGAGATAGTTTTTAGGTGGTACGCTTTACCTCACCCTCTCTGTATGATAAAATAACTTTTAATCACATGTGTGTTGTTTATTCAGCACACAATAGTATCATTTAACAAAAAGAGTCTATTTTTAGAAAATAATTTCATAGTATAAAATGTTTATTAAGATGTTAAAATGGTTTCATCGAATGTGTGCCGGGGAATTGTCGGTTTGAAAAACAACCAAACAACAATAATTTTTTCTGCTTTTATTTTTCTACATCACAACATTTGTAGGCTTTAAACCGGTCAAATGCTATTGAAAATATTATATGATTCGGACGTTTATAGATGGACATAATATTTTCAATGCTTTTTTTTTAAATAAAAAAAAGGTATGGAAAGTAACAATTTTAATGGACGCAATTTTTATTTATTATTTTTTTTCAAAAGTCACAAAAAGTGAAACCATGTGCTGTATTGTCTACTACTACAGATACAATGTATACGATAATTGCTCTTAAGTAACCTACTGACAATAACTGGGCGACTGTAACGCGTAAAAAAACAGCTGTTGGAAAAAAAAAATTGTTTTTCACAGCCTCAAATCATTAAAATAACAACAACAATAATAGTAGCAATGCTGTCGGCCACAGGTTCTCCGGCTCATCGGTTCATATATTTTTCTAATACTCCCAAACGGACACGGTTTGCAATTTTCGCATTGTCCAAAACATTGACAACGGTACACTATTATAATATTCATAATAGCCGGATAGAACTATATTGCTGCGATATTTTCGATATTATTATCGAACGGCTTATGAATGAAAATCGTACCACAAACAAACGTTATCGTTTTGTCAGATGCCAAACGCGTTTTTCTTAGGTCTAGGCAGACGTTACCGTGGTGGTTTAAAAAAAAAAAAGTATTCACAGCCGGTCAATTTCACCGTCTATGCATCAAGCACACACACACACACATAACCTACTTACAAATGGTCAGTGGCTCTTCGAGTGAGCGCACGTTATAATTTATACAGAATACCTACGGTACTCGTTTCCTATCTTCGTGGAGCGTTTCCGAATATTATTGACTTTTTAAAATAATTACTTTTTTTTTAATCGCATTAAAACCAGCAAAACCAACAATGACCACACTGGGAACACAATGTTGTGCGGGTACTAAGTGTAACAAATAAAACCCATTTAGCCTGGAGAACTGGTTTTCATCGAAAGTGAGCTGATTAGCTTCAGACAACATGGTGTTATCTTGAATTTGTCAAGTCATAACTGCATAATATGAAAAGCTACAACATATAACAACACACATACACACAACGTTATGGGTTTTGTGAATGTTATTGAAAAAAATAAAATAGTGTTCTTGAGGAATTTTCGTAGAAAGTGCGCGCAAGAAAGCCAGCCGAGTGATTTAAAAACGGAGTAACGTTATATTCGAAATAGAGCTTGTAAATTTAATACGGAGAGGAGAGATCTGATATAAGTGATAATAATAATAAATATTATAAGCCGTGTAATAGCCGGCCAGTGTTGATGAAATGGAAAGTTTGCTTTTCCGTTTTCAATGTTCCAACGGTCATTTGTTTTTTTTCCTACGACAAACTGGTTGCAGTCGTTAAACGTGCACCTTAAACTCCAGAAAAAGATCCAGAAAAACGTTAGGCCTACTTTGTATTAATAAACCTCACCGGTGTGCATGGTAATTAATTAAACGCACATTCCTAACTCGGATATACAGTTGACAAGTGATTGATTTAATATGATTAATAGACTGCTAATCAGATTGTACGGGATAATAAATGACCGTCTACTCGTTGAACCGAAAATAATATGTTATATTGTTGAGTAAAAACACACATATGTGTGTATTCACTCACAGCCAGTACAATATTTTGCGATGGCAACAACCTGAAATAATAATATGAGTTGTGCATCGATTACTATTTGATGTATACCGACTTGTATGCTAATAATGCTTACACGGTACATCAAAAGTAATTAACATATCAGGACAAAACAATGAAACAAACTCAATGTTCTTCGTCTCGGACGATGCATATATTATTATGCAATATAATAATATTCTATAAACCTATTTTGTATTATCTAACCTGCGCAGAAGTGCGCATGTATAATTATTATTTTATGATATTATAGTTTGATTAACTACGAAACTATCTCATGTAGACAGATCGTTTATACCTAACCTAGTCACTCTACACTCATTTTTGCTTTCCACAAATGAAACGTGTACAATTGTGTTGGCTTAGACTTGAAATTGTTTTTGTTTAATCTTTTTTGTCTAAAGGTCATTGTCTTCTTCAGTTTTACATATTATAGCCCTTGTTTCGTGGCGTAGGCGACGGAACAACCCACTCTGGTTAATACCAACATATTGCAATCGTATGAATATGGTCAACATGTAATCGATCCTACCTTAGGTCGTTTCCATACGAATTGAAACGGCGGTTTTTGATGGTAAAAAACCGACGACTGGGTCGCAGGGAAGTCCGGATCTTCCCACAGTTCGCCGCGTTTTTGACACATCCTCCGGATCCTGTCGTAATCGCCCATTATGTAGCAAATCCTGAAAATAAAAATAATATTATTTTTAAAAAAATACAAGTACAACCGCCGAAAGGTATACAGTATACACCAACTATAAGTCGAGCAAGAACGCTGCTATAAATCTCATAGCAAAGTATTCACAAAATCGGTCATAAGTTATCCGAACTGTCACATTATAAAAAAAAAACTCTTGTCGTTTGGCGAGTAATTTGAGACACACATAAATCATATTTTCTTTTTTTTTTTTATACATCAACATCTAAAATGTGTTAAAAAAAAAACTGTTCAAGGAATAACTTTACATGCAAAAACAACAAATACCTTCACAACTTGGCATCGGAGCTAAAGTAATTGTCAGATCGCACACAAATGCCGGATTGCAAATTTAAGAGTCAAATGACTTTTTATCCTTTATTTAAGCGTTTACCAGTACCGCAGTGACAATAGAAATTTGCTCATATTTGTTGTCTATGATTGATGCGTTAAACGGCAAAAGAATTTATGCTAAATCTCGCGAGAAATATTGTTGAATTGAGTGATTCATTAAAATCGAATAGACCAAAGGTGTATGGACAAAATTGTCCAAACCTGACCTTACTGGTTCTTAATAACAGGCATGTTTGCGATAAAAACAATTCTAGTACGTTTGACACGCATACAAAATTAGGTTCTAATGCTTTGTAGGTTCTTAGTTCAATCAATCATGAGGTTCTTGGCTCTAATATCATTTTTCATAGTACAACAATATGCAATAATTCGCATACTGTTGCGGTCACAGGTCGAATGATGAAGATATTGCATTTATTTTTTTGTGTGCATTTTTTTAATCATTAGTGTATAGTCCCTCTTGTTGTCACGACTAGCCAGTTTAAATCAGGTTAGGCGTTTGTTAAAGGATTTCCTGGTCCGGGGCTCGGAGGGTATTGCAAGTGGAATGCGGTCCAAGATGTGTGTGTTGTCTGAATATTGCCCATTGCTTTTTAGCCCCCAGCGGACATCCGGCCGAGTAAAAGTCGATTTTTGCAGGGAAAGGTGGTCCATAATTGATCGTTGAGGCTTCATTAGTGTATTTTTTATATTTGCTCCTAACACGGCCGATGACGCACACCCTGGTCTGTTGTTACTTCGTTTTAAAGCTGGTTTTTTTTTTAAATTCGCAGCACACTATTATTCACATGCTACGGCGGTCTTCCAGCTTGACATCATCGACCGGAGCCTAAGGTCAACGTATCCGTCCTCTCCTCCCACGACAACCCGAAAGACCACATACACACAGACGTGGCCATCGTTTTTACCGTGCACGTTTGCCGACCGTGTTGTTTAATTCTCCATTCGACAATCTCCAATTGGCGCCAAAAATTAAGCGCCATTTAATTTTGGCATCAAGTTAAAACATAGCCGTTGTTTCGTTTTTGGCGTAGACAAAATTATTGTAATAATATGTATAATCGATGCGATAGTTTCCAAACATGTTTACTTAAAATCTGAGTAGCATCGTTTGAGTGAATTATAGTTTTCGAAATCATACTAACAGTTCATATGGATAACTGATAACATCCTGGCGAGAGGGTTTGTTTATCATGTCCACTTACACAGCAGATTAAATAAAACCAGATTGTGCACTTCATAGTAAAACAATATATTTCTTAGACTACACTGTATAACAGAAGAAGAATTTTTTCTATTCATTTTTTTGGTCATACTGACTGATATCGCCGTTGGACAGTATAAAAGAAAAGGCAAAATATTATTTCGCCCGTGAGTATTGTGTTTAATGAATAGCCAAGGAACGTTTCTCGATAACAATAATATGACAATTATTTGGGTCGACGTCGTGAGATTTTTTATCTACGGGGAAGAATCGTGCCCGAGCAAAATTTATGGTATTACAACAAGAAAAACCTAACCTGACCTAAGTAGTACACGCCGATTCTCACAAACATTCAGATGTGATTCCGATACACCTGAACGGCATCTAAAACGACACTTATACCTAGTTAGTAGTTACCCATATTTAAACAAATTAAAATAACAAAAAACTTAACTGAGCAAAATCAAGAAAAAAAAATGTCATGTTAAAAATAAAAAAACCAACAAATGCGTTACACAACTTTTTAACATTCTGTACATAATATGTATTTTGTATTGCCACTCATGAAAACAATACCGTGAAGGAATATCAATATTATTTTGTCGATTGTTTGAAATTTTACATTAACGTGTTAAGTAATATTTATTTGAAAGGTTTTTTTTTAATAGGTTGGATATAAAGTCGTTTGACCTGTACTAAATTGGATATTTAATTTTTGTAAAATCAATTTGTATTAGCTTAGCTTAGGCTTTTCAAGAAATAAAACTATTGGAAATTGGAATTAAGGTAAATGATAGGCAATATTGATTTAAAGCTAAAAACTATTAAGTTTTTTAGTTATAAATAAAGTTACTTTTCTTCGAGTTATGACAAAAGTTTGACAAAAATTAACTTTTGTAGAAGTCATTGTCTGGCATATCTATTGGGTGGATTTCAATTTTTTCTTTCCCATGAAGCTTACAATTTTCTGTGTGAGGGCTTAAAGGCCGACTTTTTTTAACTAATTAAAAAATGAGTTAGGTTTCTTAGAAAAACTATAAAATAGGAAAAATATAATCGTTTATAATAAAAATTTTAAAAACAAAAATTAAAAATCGGCCTTGTAACTGCCATAGAAAAGATAGTAAGCTTAATAACAAACAATTTTTTCAGTAGATACTTCAAAAAGTGACTTTGCGTTTTAGTCTTTATTTGTTCAAAAGTGGCTCTTTTCGTTTATCTTAAAGATTTGAAAACTAAAAAAAAAAACAATTTTCAACCATTTTCTTAGTAACTGAGGTTTAGTAAATAATAAAAAGTTAAAGTTTTAAATTTCATAAACAACTGTTTTCCTCTCATAAGAATTTTGAAAACAATAATAATCTCTTCCTCTTAAACAACATAATCTTTCATTCTTGTATTTTTTTTTCTAGTGCCTTTTTTTTGGTATAAATATCGTTTGCTTAACATTTTTTTTATTCCAATTGGAACATTTCACCGCGACGGTTGTCGTCGAATAACACTAATAAATTTTCTTTGACGGTTTTTTAAAAAATAATATATTCAAAATTATAACGATCCAACAACGGTATTACAGGTTTTTTTTTTCTTTTTCTCGCAGTCGAGAAGTAATACCTATACTTAATAGTATCGGTAGTAATTTTGTCGTGTTTTTTTACAGTTTTTCTCGCCTAACGACCGCATTGTCCGCAATACCGTACGACAACGGTGGTGAGGTCTTCTATATTTTAATACGGGCACGCAAAACACCACAATTTAGACACAATATACACATAATAATAATATTGTGTTATTATCATAATAAAATCCAATTGAATAATAATAATAATAATACAAATTTCGCGCGGTGAATAATGGTCGTAACGATACGATAAAAATCCACACGGGTTCAACGGCCCAAGTATAATCACAAAACGGGACGGCGCAACAGGTGATGCTCGCCATAGGCAACATGTAGGTGTACACAACAAGACGTATCTTCTATACATATATGATGTCACCGCGGTCCGGCACGGTCTTAAGTACACTGCACAAGCCAATACTGGCATCACGGTTTTTTTTTTTTTAATTTTTTTCCGTGAAAAAATATAGTAATACATCCTCTTCGTTGCACACATAACATTATACATTATTATTATTACTGTCGTGTACAAGCCCCCCGATGCTGTCGGCAGTCCGTCTTGTATATATACCTCTATACGTGCCACGAATATACATACGGCTTATGGAATTCCCCCCAAGTCAAAGAGACGTTTAACGTCACTCCCGGCGATAGTCGCACGGATTACATTATTATTATTTTTGTCATAATATGACGAATTCTCGGTCGTGCCCGGACGATAAACGTTTCAAAAGATCACGAAGCAAACAGCTATTCGGATAAATTCACAAAATATAGCATAATATTACTTTTTTAGGATCCTATACCGTTTACCATTCTCTTTTTACCAAAAACTTTAAGAACTTGAATGCAAAGATGTTACCGCCTGAGTCCAAATTTGAAGTTCATACACAGCTCCTGTGTTAAAATTAAGTCCCCATTACCAAACTTTTACCGGATGTTCTAAATACACATAAGTAATAGTGCTGTACAAATTTCAGAATTTTTAATTTAAGCCTTAAAAAGATATAGAAAATGCCAAACTTTAGAGTTGCTTATAAATCATAAAAACAAAAAAAAATATGAATCAAAAGAGTATAGCTTTATGTGTCAGAATACAAATGAAAATGTTGAAACTTTACCTTGAGTTGGTATAAAATGTACTGAAATTTATAAAAATTTTCAATTTTTACCTATTTAAAAAATTTGAAAAATTTGTTTTAAGGATATTATGAAAAAGAACACTAATTGTATTACAATTATTGTTCAGTAAAAATTCCATTTCGATATCACACTTAAGGTGTTTTTACAACAAATTAACCGAATGTAGCATCACTCAAGTCCAAAAAAGTATTTATGAAACTAACTGCATTGAATGTACAAGTTTGAAACATTTAGAAAATCCACACACACATCAGGTGATTTGGCACGGAATGACCCTGATGTGTTTATAATTATTTTTACTATTTTTTTGCCCGGCCAAACGATATTTCCTCAACTGCTAAACCTATTTCTTCGTCCAGCATTCCCGTTATCAGAAATCTTACCTGAAAGCTTCTTTACTGTATCAAATTTTTTTAAATAATCACTTCTTCCTCTTAAAAAATCTAGGATAATTCCACATTTTTCAACTTCAAGGTACCTTTTTAAAAATAATCAAAAATGTTTATGAAATATTCTTTAGATACATTTGGGGACAGTTATCAACGTACGTTGACAATCCCAAAAAATGTATTACCCTTTCTCCTGGAAAATATCAGCAGTTTTGGTAGTTGAGGGCTGAAAATTAGAATACAATTTCCTGTAAAATCTGTACCCGCTCAAAAAACTACAACACATTGCGCCTATATATCTCATTAACATTGTTTCTGTAATGTTTTTAGCTATCATATTCAAGGCTTTAAAAACATTGATTTTTACACTGCTCAAACCCTTGTGTGTGTGTACTTGAACGCTCACAGTTTGAAATCAAAACGTCAAATGATAATAGTAACATATTTTCTACATCCGTTTGGAAACTTAACCAAGGACTCTTGGTGTTGAAACTCATTAGATAGACGGTGTGATAGCATCGATTATATTATTATACTTATACATTGAGACAATATTTATACGAGTATAAGCAGCCAACCTACAGAATAGATTTCATAGAGTCTAAAAGTACTTGACAAAAACACAGAGAAGGTTATTGATTATTATGTGATATCAACAAACATAATTTATTGCGAAACACAGTAAACGTGTTTTGAACATATTTTTAATTAAAAATAAAGTCGGATGTTCTAAAAAAAAACCGAAATTTCAGTTGAAACAAACTAATGGCTCGATTAATAGGCCAATATAACACTGGGAAAATATAACGTTCAGTGTTATAATATTAGCGATACAAAGTAGAAAAATATTTCGGTTAAAATACAATAGAAGAATCGTATTTTTTTTTTGAATTTTTTTTTATACAATAAAATCGATTGATTTCGATGCGAACAGAGTAAACGTAATGACCTGGAAAAGCAGTGGCCTAGTAGTTTAAAAAAAAAAAAACGTTTCCACGGGTCATCTATAGCTGGTATAGGTTGGCTATGTTTTGCGGAAACGAACCGTTTGTGTCGTTTCCTTTAGATTTTCAAAAACACAATTACATAATATTATTATATTATAGTTAAATTGATTACCTTGGAAAAGCCCAAACCACCGACGGACGGCTAAATAAACGTTTGTGCCCAACAAGAACAGCAAACTGTGAATGCAAGTGCAACCAAAAAAATAACAGATAAACGATTTTAAATAGTATTTTTTGTAATTTTTTTTATCGCTGAATTCAATATGTCTACTGATAATTTGAGAATTAAATTGATTATGGAAAAAAACAAAGCTCACCGTCGATTATAAATCATTAGTGATGGTTCCAAGGCACTATATCTATATAATTGCGTTTAGTTTACAAAGAACGATCATATATTGGACGAGTATAGATCAATTAACTCGTCAAGAAAATCTAGTTCAATCGAGTGGTAAACGATTGACAAATTACAAAATACACCAACTAAAACCCATTACAATATTACTATTATTATCATTATTGCTAACACCCAATACGACAATGTTCTCCTATTGGATATTTTTGAAAGCAGCAAAATTTCAAGAAAATTATCATTTTCAGCTTACATATATATCGTTTCAATGATTCTTGGAATCAATTCTATTTTCACTCGCCTATTGTAATAATACTTCAACCTTATATTGTCTTATAAAGACCCTTCGAAGAAATAATTCCAGAAGTAACTGCCAGCATTGTATTGTCGGCTAATTAAAACAATATAATATAAAACCCAACCGCATTCTTCGAATCCGTTCGTTTCTTTGGAATAGACACGTTGACATTTGCATCACAGAACTTGCAGGCAATGACTGCGCATAAAGTACAACACAGCAAGACCATTCTTTGACTCGTTTTTTGCTTAGTTTAATATCATTTTTATACCGTTGCCATGGGTAAACCAGAGGGAGTGGGCAAGGGATCTTGGGGGTTATTTGCACCCCGAAATTATTTGTATTTCATATCATAAGTGCTATACAAAGAAGACATTTATGTAGTACGGAAATATCGATAAAAAAACTGTAATAATGCGTTTAAAATTGTATTTAGAATAATAGAGTGGCTACGATTAGGATTGATATAATAACTTGTTGCCGCTGTTTTTCCAATGTCTGTGACTATCAATTCATTCTTACATAGCAACCTGGAAATTGCACAGAAAAACATTTCCCCTTTTTTTGAGTTTTCCTAAATAAAAATATAAGTTTAAGAACAGATTTTTGGGGAAAATGTATAGGTATGTTATAGCCCCATTCTAGGTCCACCTTCAATCTAATGTTCAGACCTAAAGTCCTAAGGCAATGTTAAAAAAATTGGAAGAAAGAGAAAGTTTCCACCCATTCGAGAGGAAAGGGCTTTTGATATATTTATGGGTTGTCGACGTTTCTGGATAGTATTTTCTTCCAAACAAATTTGGAAAATTCCACTATTTTTGAAAAAGTTATTTCTAGTTGAAAATTATATGCATTTTTGGGTGTTTTTTCGATTTTAAAGGGTTGTGTAAACTTTTTAAATTTTAGCCCTGTCAAAGATAATCTTCTAGGTACGATTTCTGTAGATCTATAGACTTGCCACATAAAGACATCGGTTCAGGAGATGTGGGTCCAGACACGGAAATAACCCAACCTTCTCGCCGAAGCTTAAAAAAATTGACTACAATTTTGAAAGAAACTTCGATCATAACAATTGGGTGCGCTCACCGTTTCAAATTGTGGTCCACCGTCGTATAACCGTGCGGAATGCGACAATCATCCGCCGATATTTGTATTTTATCACTCGAGCACTATTCCGAAAAGCGACGAACAATATTGATATAATATTATTGTTGTATGATAACGACACGCACACGAACCGACGAGCGACCGCACCGCAGGACGAACGCCTGATGACTAACGTTGGGGCGCGCGCATAAGCTAATACCTGGGTCACGGTTGATGGAAGCCAGAGCTTGTTGGTTAGCAACAAGAATTCCATCGATGGTCCGCCGCCGGAGATTTGAACGCACGCAACTGTACGTCCTCGTTTGTGCATAGTTTGTTCTAACCTAAGAGTTCACGGCTATTGTTGGCACGATCAATGTTGTACAACTAAAAACTGGACACTCGTGGAGTTCGCCCCTGTCCCTTCACAAATTTCCCAACACCAAAATCGAGCCGGACGGCATACCTGATTCCCGTGACTTAAACGTTATTAAGGGTCATAACGTTTAATAAGTTTAGAAAAGGCAATTTGTTTGAAAATCTAAATTTAAACTAGAAAAACTTAGGCAACTCTTGTGGTTATACAGAATGATCCACTCGTTATTAAGTGTGATCCTATTATGACATTGTTGACTCTCTGCATCACGTCCGTGCGCTTAGGCACCTTCAGGCGTACTCTCCACATGCACAACTCTCAATGAATATTGTTTAAGCAGTTGACCCAGTCGCCTTGAGTCCTGGCCTCGTCCCCGAGTATCCGTTCGACCGACCCAGCAGGTACGATAACTCGGCGCGTTCTTTGGAGTGTGTGTCCAAAGTCATAGTCACCTTTAGCATCTGTTGCTGAATGCAAAAGACATGTACCGGATGAACAATGTCGGAGTGTCGGTGCCAAGCTAGGAATTTGATGATAAAAACAATTCCTAGTTTCGTTATGCTGCCGTTGACTTATGTTATCGTTTAAATAAAAACCCGAATAAAGCCAGACAAACAAAATATGTTAGTTATCAACTTTGCAAACGATTAATAGGTATATTATTATCAGGGCTCGGAACTTAAAGCATTTGCTTATTTTTTTTAATTACCATAATATGTAGCAGAGTGCTACATAATGTGATGCCACGTTACAACGATTTTATGTGTAAAATTTGAAAGTGCTTTTTTTTGCTCTTTTGGAGGATTTTTTAAAATAACTCCTTTTTTTATAGTTTTTTTGATATTTTGCTTATTTTTTACATTATTTCATATTTGTATCAATGCCACTGATAAAAAAACGAAACCAGAATTTTTTTTTCATATTGTTTATTTGCAATAGAACTAAAACTAAAAATAATTTCATGTCGCAGCATCAGTAATAAAAATATCCCATCGCTGTATTAACACTGCAATCAAACTATAACTAATTCCTGGTATTTCGGTGGAATAAATAAATTATGTATATATATATATATATATATATATATATATTATCAGACCGCTGTAATGTGAACACGAAGGTAAAGAAAAACCGGTAACGTAATATCAGTCGATATCGGTCACCGGTCGCGGGTTTGTTTTTATCGTCGTTCGTGTCCGTGTATTATAATGGGGAAAGAAAAGATATCAACTAGTGTGCTTTTAAAAAAATACGTTGTAGCATTTGGGTCTGAAATTTTGTCCACAGATGGGCATGTTTTATACTGTAAAATGTGCGAGATAAAAATAAAGTTTGAAAAAAAGTATAATGTATCTCAACATTTAAAAACTGATAAACACCTAAAAAGTGTATCTTTTGAAATATTTTTAATTCCTTTTTTCAAAAAACTCATAAATTTAAGTAAATTTAAGAAACCAAAGGTAAGGTCTTGTATTAAATAAAATAATATCTGATTTAATTTTCTTATTTTGTTTTTAATTAAACTCATTATACTTAATATGTTTTATTTTTTTGTTAATTGTTTTATTGTATAAGAGAACATTTAAACGGGATATAATTTTTTATTTTTTTTAGAGTTAGGAGGAAAGTAACTATTTTTGAGATTGCTTTTTTTTGCTTTTTTTAATGTTTTTTGATGCTTTTTTGAGTGCTTAAAATGGAGTTTTTTAGCGCTTTTTTTGATGATTTTAAAAGCTTTAAGTCCCGAGCCTTGATTATTATCAATGTTTTTACACAACCTTAGATAGACTTATTGGAATAGATGTGTTATGAATGTGTATTAAAAATTAAAAAAAATAATACAAAAAACTACTTGGTCTGCTCGAATACCTATCGATTACATCATGAATACTTTATATAGACCGTGCCGATTAGTCTATTGGAGTAGTGTGAACATATGTAATTAAAATACTATTTTGTTCCAATTAATTTAAATAGGTATATTTATTAAACAGGTTTCTGGCGTTTTTTTAGCGAATTCACAGGCGGTTTTTATGTATAATATAATATTTTTATTGGCTGATTTATAATAAACTGTAAACACACAAAATAAAAACAAACACTAGTATCATTGGTCCATCTATTCAAAATCTTAAGTCAAAATTAAAAAAAAAACCGATTATGAGCGATTGTGATAAAAAAAATTCGGTAAGATTTTGTTAACCGGTGGTACTGTACTGCATACATAAGTATATTATGTGCTGTTTTTTGTTTCTTTGAATTTAACTAGGTATGTTTTATTTTTTTCAAGTGCCCCGTTGACTGTGAATCGAACGACGACAGTTGTCCAATAGACTATTGCGATGACGGTCCTGGCGTTTGCGAAGGAGTAAAAGCGTTTCTAGAGCGAAAAAAACTCAAATGTACGGTAACGAAATTAGAAGCTCGTTTAGAATCGATAGAAGCGGAATACCGTTGCAAGATGCAAGCGTTGAACGCAACCAGTGAACAAAAATTGAATAAAATCAAACAAGAATACGAGCTCAAGATGAACGAAAGCGACAAGAAATACCGAGATTTGGAATTGGAGTTGATTTACATGGAAAAATATTTGGACGATTCCAAAGACAAAGGTTAATAATCCTCAGTAGCTTTAATTGAAAAAACTAATGTATAATATATCGCTAGAGCGTCAACTGAACAAGGCGTCGGAGAAACATAGGAAGAAAATTGAAGACTTAGAGAAGCAAATGGAATATGAACAGGATCGGTACAGCCAGTTATACCAGCAAAAATCTAAGTTGGAATCCGAATTAAAAGCGAAGGATTGTCAAACGAATAGTAACACTCAACGTGTTTGCGATTTGGAAACGCGGTTACAACAGTATAAGTAAGTTCCACGTCCGCAAACCATGTTACACGTTATAATAATTTATTTGGATAATATTTTTATTTTTTGTCAATTGTGAACAAACGAGACTAGTTGAAACGCAATCCCTTTTGTATCAACTAAAATAGTCGACAATTTTTAATTTGTGTTCAAGACTTTTAATCATAGGCCAAAAATTGGGGATGCGATGGTGATAAGGGGAAATCGAGTAGTTCTCGGTTATTTGATTAGAGAATCGGCCGATAAGATACAATTTGATAACCAAAAGGGGAACTTTAACAAAAATTACATAGGTTCTTATGAGTCAAACTATGATAGATGAACTATATAGATAGTTCCAAGAAAAAACATTATGATTGCAAGTGATGCGCCAAAACAAAATGGCGGACACTTATCCGTCCGGCCTAGATTTCCTCTCCGGTTATTTTGCGGATAAGATATTAATGATAAGAAATTCGACTGATAAGAGGCAGAAAATCATAAAGACACTTGGGCATTTTAGTCGTTTCAATTAATATAATAATACAGCTAACGTTAAAACTTAAATTGTTATCGTTTGTTAACAGAGATCTGCTAGCGGAAGAACAAAAAACCGTGCGCGTTTTGAAAAAACAATTACAAATGTCGATGAAAAGTTGCCAAAAACTTCAATCGGCAGTCGGCCAAGTTAACACACCTTGTGGAGCGCACAATCATAATAGTGGCAATCAAAATGGCGATAAAAAGAACTCGTGCAGGCCCGAAACTCCACCACCGCCACCTTGTAAATTCAGAGTCTTAACTGAGGTAAATTGATCTGTAAACAGCTTTTCTATCATTTTATTAACATACTAAAATATTAGTAAACAGAACGATAATGTCGATACTACAAAACACGAATGAGACGATGAGGAATTCAATATTTCAAAAATTATTTTATTAAAATTAAGCAAATAATTGTAATTTTTAGTATTCAATAAAAAAAAAATAGTGTTGTGTATGTTTCAGTAAAATCATTCAAGCAGTTTTGGAGGCCTACACGCGACACTGCAAGGCGAAAATATAATTTTTTTTTATTAACAGATAATATTATAATTACAAAGAGTACCACTTATGATATTATGTTATCATAACTTAATTGCAAATAAAATTATTTTTCAGTAAAATAGATCATTTAAGGATAATTGTTAGTAGACAAGTATAGGCCAGCAACACCTAACAGCACTTCACATAATTTTTATTAACACAAATGAACTTTAACTTTTTCTTTTGTGTGTGTGTTGAAATAGTTGCCTATGTCAACTGTTAATGGGGATCGTTGATCTACTTGGGACAACATAAATGCATAATGATATAATATTGTATAAATTGGTATTTCCCTTACAAGTTTAGTTCTCTACTTAAACAGTGTCATATTAAGCAAATTACAATTTTTGTAGACATCTGAAAATTAATTGGACAACTTATAAAAATCACCAATAAAAGGGTTTTAACGAAAAAAAAGTATACTGTTTACGCGTTTAACTTGAAAAACAAATAACTTGACTGTTTAACTTGTACCTAATATGTACTTATAAGTTATATAATGTCATATTGAAGTTAATATATACATTTTTTTGTATGATTATTACTAGTGTCTGAGAAATCAAATCGAAACGCTGGAAGAAAAGAAAAAGCCGTGTGGAAATGCCGGCAAAGATGGGTGCCCGTGTGTGATGAAAGAAGTTCAGTGTCTCAAGAAGAAAATGGCCAATTTATCAGATTCGAGTATAAAATGATAACAAGAAAAGAGATGATAATAAATATATGTTTTTAAAAAAATTCGATTTACCAATCCAAATTTTGATTGACAACAAAATATGTGTTTATATCTTAATTTTTTTTATGTCAAGTCGAAAAGAATTTACCCAAAGTGTTTAGATCTGACTTTTTACACCGAGGAATTCATTTTAT